GCAGCTCCTTGACTCCCACAAAAGCCTTTTCCTCGGCCTGCCCCCACTTCCATTTTGCCTCCTTGTGCAAAAGCGCGTGCAAAGGGGCCGCCACTGATGCCTTATGCGGTAAAAACGCATGATAAAAATTCAGGAGTCCTAAAAAGGATTGGAGCTCCTTCTTACTCACCGGCCTGGGGGCGTTTTGGATTGCAGATACCTTCTCATCCGTGGGGTGGACTCCCTCTGCGTCAATGCGAAACCCCAGGAAGTCCACACTTTCCACCCCGAGCGTGCATTTTGAGCGCTTAACTCTGAGGCCGGCATTTTGAAAACGCCTGAGGACCTCTTTAACCCGGTCCAGTAGTTCCTGTTCAGACCCGCCCGCAATCAGCACGTCGTCAAAATAGGGCACTGTGCCAGGTACCCCCCTTAGTAGACGTTCCATGAGGCCCTGAAAAATCCCAGGTGCTACGTTGACCCCGAATTGCAGCCTGTTCACTTTAAAAGCCCCTTGGTGGGTTACAATTGTTTGGGCCTCGGCAGCCTCCGGGGTGACAGGCAACTGCTGGTATGCCTGGGCCAGGTCAAATTTGGCGAAAATCTTGCCACCCCCCAGGGAAGCCAAAATGTGGCTTATTACCGGGACCGGGTACGAATGTTGCTGCAGCGCCTTGTTAATCGTACATTTGTAATCGGCGCATAGTCGTATGGACCCATCTGATTTGACAGGGGTTACGATCGGGGTCTCCCATTTGCTGTATGGTACTGGCTCTAAAACCCCTTGCTCAACTAGTTTGTCAATCTCTTTTTCCACCTTATGTTTGAGAGACACAGGTACTTTCCGATACTTCAACCTAATAGGTTTGACTGACGGATCTAAGTCAAACGCAACCGGGGGGCCCTTGTACCTTCCCAACCCTTCGGCAAATACATCAGGGAACAGGTCGTACAGCATGCCCCATTTATTTTCAGACATCCTGTTAATCCCAGAAATACCGATGCCCAATGGCTCAAACCAATCTAACCCTAGCAGGTTAACCCGGTCTCCCTCTGCAATCAGGAATGACAGTTTAACACATTTCCCCTTATACTCAACAGTAACAGAGTCCCGTCCGGCCAAGGGAATTCGGTTGCCCTGGAAGTCGGACACTCTGGTTCCCGCAGGCTGGAGCCGCCGCCGGCTTCGGTTCGGGAACAACTGGCGCCAGGACGCGGCAGAAATCACCGTCACGGACGATCCTGAGTCCACCTCCATTGTACAGGGTCGGCCGTCGAGGAGTGGAGTCACGGTGATCTTGCCCTGGCTGCTGGTGCGATTTACGGCCGATGCGCTCGACAAGGTCGCCGTCAACTGGCAGCTTGCTTCCGATGCTGAGGAACGGGTCTTGCCTTGGGTGCTGACTGGAGTGCCCCTCTGCGCTGACCGGTTGTTAGTTGAGGGATCCTTCTTCGCTGATCTGCAGACTCTGGCCAGATGACCACGCCGCCCACACGCTCTGCAGTCGACATCACGAGCCCAACAGGAGCCGCGCTGGTGCTTCCCGCCACAACCGGAGCAAGGCTTGACGTTGGTAGTCTTCGCTGGGGTCCGCTTGCCTCGAACCGCGTTGACGTCATCATCCGCGTCTTCGCCCTCGCTGTCTCGTTGAGCGTGTATACTGGGCTCTGCCACCCGCTGGCGGACCTCCTTCGTGGACTTCTCCGCTGCTTCCGCGGCCACGGCCTCTTCGTAGGCCACTGCCCAGGTCAGGGTGGTGCGGGCGAACAGCCTCTGTTGCAGCCTTTCATCTTTGAGACCGCAGACGAGACGGTCTCTGAGGGCTTCCTCCACGTTGTGGAAATTACATGGCCGTGCGGCTTTGCGAAGGGCCGCCACGAAATCTGCGATGGTCTCGCCTCCGGCCTGGTTCCGCTTGTAAAAAGCGTGCCGGCAGGCGATCTCCGACGGTTGTGGAGAATAGTGAGCCTTAAGCTTCTCCGTGATGTCAGCGTAGGTGACAGTCTTTATATCAGTTGGGGCCACCAACGACCTGGCTATGTCGAAGGTCCCCTTCCCGCAGGAACTCAGGAGGCATGCTCGTTTCTTCGCCTCATCGGTGATGTCGTGGGTCTCCAGATGGAACTCGAACCTGGACAGGTAGGAGTCCCAGTCTTCTGAGGAGGGTTCGAAGCACTCGAACTTCTGGCTTCCAGCCATCGGGGGAGACTTGGGCACCGGAGCTGGTGGCGCCTCCGCCGGATCGGCTGCTGTGCTCTGCCCGCTTTCTTCCGAGTCCGAAGTGTGGATGTCCGCAGGGCTGCCTACCTGCTCTAACATCCCATCCTCGTCGCCAATTGTTAGATCGCGCTAACAAAGGACTCGTACAGTGATTCAGCAAGTGATTCAGCTTTATTGGCATCTTCCTTTTTTCCTGCTGCGTTCAACTTTTCCTAGTGTTATTGTCTTTTCCAATGACTCTTGCCTTCTCATAATGTGACCAAAACACAATAGCCTCAGTTTAGTCATTTTAGCTTCTAGGGAGGAGAGTTCAGGCTTGATTTGGTCTGGAACCCACTTTTTGGCAGTCCATGGCATCCAGGGGTCATTTCGTAGAAAAAGAGGTGCAGGAGCCCATTAGCATAGCTCATTAGCATAACTTATTTGCATATGCCACACACCCTCTGACATCACCGGAAGTTTGTCAGAAGGCAACACCCACCACTCAGGCTCCACTGGACTGTTCTGGGTTGCTAACTATTTTTTATGGGGGGGGGGGGGGAACGTGCAGATCTGTCCTCACAGAGGAGGGAGAGCTTGTACCTGAATAAAACTTGGTCTTAAATGTGCCACTGGACTGTTGTGGACCGGGGAACTGGGGGAGGGGGTCTGCAACTTACCTGGCCGCTTCTTGCTCTGACTGAGGGCTGCTGGGAGCAGGGGGTGGGGCTTGTTGCATGTGCCCGGCCCCTGGGCTCTTTACTGCTGGAGCTCTGCTCCTGCGTGCTCCTGCAGGAAATGACCCCTGATGGTATCCCTAAAACTCTCCTCCAACACCACATTTCAAATGAATGAACTTTCTTCCTTGTCAGTTTTCTTCATTGTCCAGCTTTCACACTTGTACACAGTAATGGGAAATACCATGGCAGGAATGAACTTGATCTTGGTCACCAGTGACACATCCCTACACTTAGGAATCTTTTCTAGCTCCTTCATGGCTTCCGTTCCCAGTCTGCTTCTGATTTCTTGGTTGCAGTCTCCCTTACAGCTGATGATGGGGCCACGGAAAAGAAAACCTTGAACAGTTTCAATTTCTTCAGTTACTTGTCCTCTTTAAAAAAACCGGCCAGCAAAAGCACGTTATAAATTCTGAGCCTGCGCCGAATGCAAGCCCAGAAATGAGCCTTTGATAGAGTTGCCAACTCTAGCTTGGGAAATTCCTGGAGATTTTGGGGTGGGGCCTGGGGAGACAGTTTGGGGTGTGGAGGAAGTTTAGCAGGGATGCAATACCATAAGGTCCACCCTCCAAAGCTTCCATTTTCTCCAGGGGATCTAATCTCTAGTCTGGAGATCAGCTGTAATTCTGTGAGAATTCCAGGCCCCACCTGGAGACTGGTAACCATGCCTTTGGGGCTGCAAACTTTGGCACTAACCCTGTGGGGCAAGGCATTTCACTTCACTTTATAACCAGCCTTTGGCTTCACACAGTAGGAAGATCCCTACAATTCTGTTTTCCTGTTACCGGCTGAAAGGGTGTGTGGCTCGGTGGCAGAGCATCTGCTTTGCATACGGACGGTCCCAGGTTCAATCCCCAGCATCTCCAGCTAAACGGATCAGGTAGGAGGTGATGTGAAAGACTTGACCCTGAGAACCTGGAGAGCTGCTGCCAGTCTGAGCAGACGATACTGATCATGATGGACCAATAATCTGATTCAATACAAGGCAAGCTTCATGCGTTCACGTATGTTCAGTGAACTGTAGCAGTAGTTTCAGGACAGCTAGGAGAAGGAATTTTCTTTACACAATGTGTAATCAACTTTCCCCTTAATGACATCATCGAGAAAGGCATATGGGCTACCTTTGGGAGGGGATCCCACAATTTCGATGCCACCACTGTGAAGTTGCTGCCTTGTGTTGCCAGCTAATAAAGCACATATGCTGGGGAGATTCACACAGAAGAGTCCAACTTAATTCAGAGCTTTAGAGGTCAAAACAGACACTTTGAATCAGGCCTGGACACTCACTGGAATCCCATGAAATTGTTTCAAAACTGGAGGTAGATGCTCCAAATAACACTGCCACCTTAGAAACATATTAACTGAATTTTTGACTGTATGCACTTTAAAAATATATATAACCATCTTTGTTTGTGCACAGGAAGATCCGGATATCACTGGGCTGTATCCTACAAATCTGTTCCACTGATGGTGAAAATTTCGGCTGGCAGAAGGAGCTCTCTGTAGGCGAAAGTGACTTCTTATGCCTGTGGGAAGTTCTGCCGTTAGCAGAACAAAGGCATGAGATACAACCTACCAACATAATTTAGGATTTGAATCCGTTTTAGTGGAAAGTTCTGCCGTTAGCGGAACAAAGGCATGAGATACAACCCACCAACATCATTTAGGATTTGAATCCGTTTTAGTGGAGAGTTCTGCCGTTAGTGGAACAAAGTCATGAGATACAACCCACCAACATTATTTAGGATTTGAATCAGTTTTATATCCCATAGAAAACAACATAATAGTTTATTTCCTTTTTTTAAAAAATGTTTTTACTACATATAAGCATGCATGGTCATATCTAGGTGTGTATTTGACATAATCACGTCCTGGGATTATAATTTGGGCATCTTTTGTGACATGCAGTACAGTCCTATGCATATTTACTCAGAAGAAAGTCCCAATTCAATCCCTGGGGTTAACTCCTGGATAAGGGTTCTTAGGATTGCATCCTTATAGAGCTATCCTAAGAACACCTTCCTGGGACTAAGCACCACTGACTACGATGGTGCTAACTTCCAAGCAGATATGTTTAGGATTGCTTAATGTAGCAGAGCAACCAGCAGCTTCTTAAAGTCTCCTGAAGTATCAGACTGGATGGCTGCTGCCAGAGACTTGTGGTACATCTTCTGGAACTTCTCCTTGATTGTTTGAAGGTCAATCTTAAAAGGGAAGACAGAAGAAGAAATTATGAGCCACAGTTTTGCCAGTCTGGGAAACTCTCTTTGGGCTTCCAAGCTTAAACACGTGGGGAAATCGTGTATGAAGATAGGTGAGCTCCCCGATAACCTCCACTTGCAATTTTCTGGCTATCACTTGTGCCCCTCTCAAACCCTGCCCAAAATCAGACAGAATGAACAAAGAAGAGTTGGAGTTTAAGATTCTCCCAGGAGTTCTGGACCTTGTTTTGCTTTTCTGTTACCAATTTTGCCTTGCAGAGGACAAGAGGACTGATCTCCCATCCTGTTAGGGACCCAACCAGATAGGTCTTTCATTAGTGGGCACTTTCACACATACTAAATAATGCACTTTCAATCCACTTTCCAAATGGATTTTACAGTGGCCCCTGCCACACGGCAGGGAAAAGATGGGGCGACGCGCGGCTTTTAAAAGCCGTGGCAAAAAAGAAACGCCCCGGCGGGATCCCACGGATCCCGGTTGCTACGCTCTGTTGCTCCCCGGCACGATCAGATGCTGGGGAGGACGACAGTAGTCGGAGGGGGAGGCTGCCGTACTGCGCATGCTCGAGCATGCGCAGTACGGCAGGGGGCCGGGGATGCGACAGCGGCAAGACACACCGCCGATCCCACGGCCAGGATGAAGCGCCTCAACCGGATGAACCACCGAGGTAGGTGGTTCATCTTTGAGGCGCTTCATCGGGGGAAGGGCCGGGTTGGAGGCGGGAGGGCGACGCCAGGCAGATGTTGCCGTGGGATCGCGCCCGTCTGATGCGCCTCCAATCCGGCCCGCTCCCGGCCCAAACTGCCTCGTATGAACGGGGCCAGTGTGAAATAGCAAAATCCACTTGCAAATAGTCGCTGAAGTGTATTGAAACTGCATTATTTAGGATGTGTGAAGGTGGCCACTGTCTTCCTGGATTGTTGGGAAGACCGGTGTGATATGACAAAGTGTCCATCCTGAAGGGGATCAGATAATATGGAGCTTTGCACCTTTAGTGCCTATCTTCTCCTCCAGGGTAAGGCCTTGAGATTTGTGTTAGAGCTTTAACTTCTGGCAGTGGAGAGGCATCTTAGGGCCTATTCAGATGTCTGCATAATTCTACTGTTGATTTCCTGTATCTATATACCTCCTTTGGGTAAGTAGTTGGGACATACAAAAAATGTCTCCCAATAATTCCAGAAACAGTGATCTTCTAGTTCAATGAGATCAAGGCCGCTCTTTGGATAGTAAGGCAACTGTCTGAACCATGCAAGCAACATGTTTCCCTCGGTATTACATTTATTTAAAATATTTATATCTGCTACTCTTCAGAATCTGCCCAAAGCAGCATTGTATGAATGAAAAAAATATATAATTTAAATGGGTATTATCATTCAGAGTCCCTTCCCTGGAAATGGCTACCATTGACATCAGCAAAATCCCAGAAAAAGGAACTTCCAGAAGCAATCCTAGACACACATTCTGGTAGTATTAAGCAACAGTCACACTGCTAGCTCTGTTGTTAGATCTGCTATTTTCTCAGGCATGGTTTCTTTCTTTGCTTTAAAGTTTTAAATTTTAAAAAAGTACATAGGGGAAAAAGCAAATACAACATACAATAGTAATTCCTAACCAAATTGTATGCAATACAGAGCCAATATTGTCACAACGTTCTATAGCTTGATTCCAATTGTCTATTTTAGTAAAGATTTTGACTTTCAGAAGGTAAGTAAATTTGACCATACAAAAAAAATAATCTTTTTATTTTCCCTGCCATTCTTGTATATTCGGAGAATATTTCTTTCCCAAAAGACGGACAAAAACAACACGTGTTGCAGAGACTGCATACAATAGAACTTTTCTGATTTTTCTTGGCATTCTTCCCACATAATTCAGAAGAAGCATGTTATTTAGTTTATTTTATTTATATCCTGCCTTTCTTCCCAATGGGAACCCAAAGCAGCTTACATTATTCTCCTTTGCTGTCAGACTCGGGCATTTGGGCATTTGACCAACTGTACATGTTGTAGTTCTACCCAGTGCAGTCATGCTTTCTATATCCTGTTTGCTCCCTGCACCCAAACATTTGTTATTCCTGTGTCCTTATCGTTTGCCCTCACCTGCCATTGCATTCCTGAGGGGGGGAGTGAATGCCTGTAGTATTTTAGGGAGGCTAGCTTCGGTGATTCTTCCATGGCGCCTCAAAAATATATTTCACACGGGAAGTGTCCTTGAAGCAGAGTCTGTGTTTGGCTAGTTGTAGACCGTATATCTTTCATGGTCTTTGTAGTATTGCTGACGTGTATGAATGGAATTTTGGGACTGTAATTATACATGACTTTCCCACCTTGACACCTTAGTCCTGACAAAGAGTTTGAACCCATAGCATCTCAAACCTCTAAATAGACCTTTCACTGAAGAAAGCGGGTGTGGAGAGTGATTTGCCTGGGAACCCTGACATCTGCTCTGTTTTACCCTCCCAACAACCCTGTGAGGTAGATTAGGCTGAGAGAGTGTGACTGTCCCAGGGTCACCCAGCAAGCTTCCATGGCAGAGCAGGGATTTGAACCTGGGTTTTCCAGAGCCTAGCATGGCACTTTAACCACAACACCATGCTGTCTCTGGGGTAGGCAGAATCAGAATCCCAGTTTCATACGTTAAACAGTCTGACATCATCTTCCAGAAAGGCTTTGCCTGGGACAGTTTCTGGCACGGTTTCTCATGGTGGAAAAGTGAAGGCTACGTGGCTAGGAAGAGCATTTGAAATGTGAATCGCTTCTCACTAAATAAAAGAGCTTTCTGGTTCAAAATATAGCGATAGCCTTTGAAAGATGATGTCAACATTACCTTCGGTACCTTTCTTTAATGTAGAGCAAATTTTAAGAGCGATATTATCGGGGGATTTTATCTTATTTTACTGTTGTAAATATAAGGAAGGTTCAGCCGGCCTTTAAAACGCTTTAACTAGTGACATGCAAACGAAAGTAGAATTTGAAACTGGTCCCTTCAGCGCAGTTGTTTTATTGGGGATATTTAATTGTGGCCTCCCAAGAACAAGGGTGCCTGAGGAGCAAGGGAATTAACAAAATTAGTTCTTTTAAAAAATGGATCCGTTTTTAATGGGGAGGGGCACGATCTGGACATCATATCACTACGGAGGGTTTTAGAAGCTTTCCCAGGATAGGTGTCCTCCTCACCATTGCCTATGGTTACCAACCTCAAGTGGGGCCTGCCGTTCTCCCAAAATTACAACCAATCTCCAGACTACAGAGTAGAGTTGGCACCAGGGGTAATTTCCTGCAGGAGCGCACAGGAATGGAGCTCCGGCAGTAAAGCGCCCAGGGGGCGGGCACATGCAACAAGCCCCACCCCCTGCTCCCAGCAGCCCCGGGCCATGAGGAGCAAGAATCAGCCAGGTAAGTTGCAGAGGTTGTTGCCTTCTGACACACTTCCAGTGATGTCAGGGGGTGTGGCATATGCAAATAAGTTATGCTAATGAGTTATGCTAATGAGCTCCTGCACCTCCTTTTCTACGAAATGACCCCTGGTTGGCACCATAGCCTGGCAACCAGCAGGAGATGGGGGGAGGCGGGTACTTACTGCAGGGGGGGACAGTGATCTTCGTCACTGTGCAATAATGTCCCTTCCAGCACGACCTGGAAGCGCTGGCATCACACCAGGGTAGGGATGCCAGCCTCCAAATGGGTCCTGGGGATCCCCCGGAATTACAGCTCATCTCCAGATGGCAGAGAACAGTTCCTCTGGAGAAAATGGATGCTTTGGAGGGTGGACTCTGTGGCATTGTACCCCACCGAGGTCTGAGTCCTCCCCAGGCTCCATCCCCAGATCTCCAGGAGTTTCCCAACCTGGATCTGGCAACCCCCCACCTGCTGGTGGCCAGGGGAGGCCTGGCAACCCTACACCAGGGTGATGCTGTAGCATTTACCCAGAAGATTTTGGGTGAGTGCTAGCTCGTCGCCTTAGTATGATGCTGGTGCTTCTGGGTTGCACTGGAAGTGGCGTCATGGCATGGTGACAAAGACCACTTTGTGCCAGAAGTGGTGTTCTGGTGATGCAAAATCAACCCGCCGTTCCCCACCACCACTCTGCTGAGCAGTGGCAGGGAACTGGGGATCCAGGGCAGGGCTTCCTCTGTCCCCTTGGAAATGGCAACACTCCTACAGAGAATATGTTGAATGGTAAGGAGAATCTTATTCAGGTGGGAAGGAGGCAGGGGTGTGTGTTCGGCTAAATCAGAGCCAGAAATATACCTGGAAAATACCTTATTGGTACTTTTCAGGTATTCGTTTCGCCAGATATAGATTTCGGTTATTGTTCGTCTATCCGAAATGGCTAAGCCCTGAAAATCCTGAAAATATTCAGGATTTTCGGGACCACCGGCTAGACAAAGTTAAAGGGTGTTTAAATGGATCACAGACCCTTTCAACGCCTTCTCCAGGCCACATGATTCCACAGTGCATGGACTCCAAAGGTGTTTAAAGGGACTGCAACCCCTTTAAATACAATCAATGGAGGATGGGGGCACCTTCTTTGGGGGCCCATAGAATTGGACCCCCTGATCCAAAAATTTGTTAATCTTGGGGGCTTTTTGGAGGAGAGGCACCAGCAGCTACCTCAAAAAACAGCCCCACCAGAGCCCCAGATATCCCATGATCGATTCTCAATTATACCCTATGGGGATCATTGACTATAATAGTCCCCATAGGGTATGATGGAGCTGAAAATTTTGGGATCCCCGAATATTCCCCAAATTCAAATACCATACCTGCATTAGGATTCAGGGATATCAAGAAATACCAATATTTTTCAGGTTCAGTATACCCAAACCCCCCAAAATACCAGGTTGTTGGGGTTTTTTTGCACATCCCTAGAAGGAGCATAAAGGTAAAGGTTCGTAGACTCCCCTCAGCACTGGTTGAACCATCCTTGTCCCCTGCTCCTGGCCATAACCACAGAGTCATCAGGAGCAATGGAATTTTTCTCGCTCTCCCCAAGTACTAGAACCCAAGGGCATCCAATGATGCTGGATGGGCAGTAGATTCAGGATGGACAAAAGGAAATACTTCTTTACACAGAGAGTGATTAAAATGTGGAATTTGCTGCCAGAAGATGTAGTGGTGGCCACAGGCATACACAGCTTTAAAAGGGGATTAGATAGATTCATGGAGGATAGTTCTATCACTGGCTACTAGCTGTGGTGACTGAGGGGAACCTCCACATTCAGAGGCACTAAGACCTAGACCAGCAAGCTAACCACTAGTACACACACTGGCTCTGATCTCGCGTAATGGCTCTCACACCTGATCTCTACAGGACTTTGGCATATATCTTTAAGAATCAGTTCTTTTTAGACTCCCCCCCGCCATGGCTTACTTACCTCAGCCCTCGTCACCAGGATGCGAATTAACGTTTCCTCATCTGTTCCTGCTCCCTTCATAGCATCATGGAGACGGGTAGCAAAGTATTCCTGGCAATCCTTTGCACACTTTACTGAAGAGTAACATTTTATAAGGACTCTCATATCAACAAGAAGGATCCCCCCCCCGTATAAATGTGTAGCCAAGTAATTTGGTGTCTCGGAGGAAATTCTGGGAGCCTTTGTTTTTAGGTATAAAATGCAGTCCACCTGTTTTTGCAGACAGCCATCAGGCTTTACAACCGAGGACTAGGGTTGCCAAGTCCGGACTTACCTGCAGTTGGGGGACTTTGGCTTTGTTCCCGGTGCGTGTGCGTGCGCGCAGCATGCACGTCACAGGGAAGTGACGTCATGACGCCGGGCACGCTGGGGGCGGGGCACAGCCATTTGAGGGATAAACTCTCTCAAATGGCGCCTCTGAGTTCTTCGGCGGCCGCAAGCCACCCCCCGGGGGGATTTGGCAGCCCTACCGAGGACCCTGTGTGATGGGATACATCGCCATGTCCTACAAGAGGTGCATCCAGGCTGTTCAACTGAGCTCGGATGAGCTTTGGCGTTGGTGGAAAGTGCTATCAAGCTGAAGCCAATTTATGGGGACCCCGTAGGGTTTTCAATGCAAGAGAGGTTCAGAGGTGGTTTGTCATTGCTCGCCTCTGCATAGCAACCCTAGACTTCCTTGGTGGTCTCCCATCCAAGGACTAACAAGGCCTGACCCTGCTTAGCTTCTGAGATCTGACAAAATTGGGCTACTGGAGTAACTCTGTTTAAGGATTATTGTTGAAATGGTATGCAGATGCTGGGTGGTGTTTTTGATTAGGCTATATCCCTTCTCTGGGCAGCACACTATGAATTGTGGGAGTGAAATTTTCAGATTTTTCATCTGCCGCAGCCTTATCGTGGGCCCATTCCCCATCTAGCATTTGCTCTGTTGTTTTACCAAACCCACATTGGAACTAGGCTTGCCAAGTCCCCCCGGGGGGCGGGGAAAACCCCGCCCCCCGGGGGCAGATCGGGCCCCGGGGGTAACCCCACCCCCATGTCACCCGGAAGTGACGTGACCACGCCGGGCACGCTGGGGGCAGGGCCATGGTCATCCGAGGGAAATCTCTATGGTTTTCCCTCGGATGGTTGTGGCCCCGCCCCCAGCGTGCCCGGTGTCGTCACGTCACTTCCGGGTGACGTGTGTGCGGCACGCGCACACTCCAGCCGCCAGCCGGGAGTCCCCCGCTGCTGCTCAAAAAGCACTTGGCAACCCTAATTGGAACAGAAATTCCCCTCTACATTACATGCCACTTTCTTTGATTGCCGGATTTTATTTTAGCCTCCACACTGCATGCTGGACTATGGGAGACACAGAGGCAAGGCCTCAGAACTTGGAAAGGAAGCTGGGAGCCGACCCTCCCAGCAGGCAGTTCCTACAAAGGTCAGGTGTGGTGGTAGTGGGTTACCGGAAAGAGAGAATAGCTTCTCCAAGTGTTTGGGAAAACTTTGGAGAGAGGGGTGGAACAGGGCCTGCAGGCCAGAGCAGGTCCGTTCTGCCACAATCCCAATAGGAATATGGTCCTATATCTCTCCTCCCAGTCCAGGCCCGTAGCTAACGCGGGGCCCACGGGGCCTGGCCCTCTCCCATTTCTTCTGGGCCACTTCCCTCCCGGGCTGTCCCCGAAGTGCCTCAACTCATCACCTGCGTGCCACTTTGCACTCTGACTGAGAAACACCCCCACTTAAATCTTCGGACTGCAAAGACCAGGGGTGGAAGACAGCCACACTTTTTAAAACTGGGGTTGGGATAATTTATGCAGGATGTCAAAAGCGGGAGGGGGGAGAGAAGCGGCCTTCTGCTGAGCCGGGGGTGCCACAGCATGAAATTGACCAGCACGCTGAAACTGACTCAAAACCGCCCCCCCCCATGGCCCCCTCCCAAAAAACTCCCTAGCTACGGGGCTGTCCCAGTCCTTTGATCCAGTGCTGGTAATTAAAGTAATGGAGTTGAATCCAGACTAAATTTTCCATTAGCAGAATGGAACCTCCCTGTCTCTCACCCCCCCCCCCCCCTGCAGCCTGCTCTATGAAAACCATTTTCAGGGGGATCCCAAAAAATGGGGGGGGGGGGGGGGGGGGGGGGCGCCAGCAGTGGGAAAGGGGGAATTCGTTGAAATTATCAGTTTAGTCCGACCCATTTTATGAACGCCAAGTGCTCATGATTTAAAAGTCAATTTTTACCAAGAGTTAGATAAGCCTTCTCGAGATCTCCAGAAGTTTCACTCTTAATAGTGTCTTCAATGTCTTTGCCGGTCAACTGTAATCAAAACGACAATAATAATGTAAATATTTTTTTGCAGTGCTGGAGATTATTGCGTTAGAAGACAAATCACATTTATAGTTTTCTTTTTCTAGCCCTGCTCTTGGTCCAAAGCAAGCTTTTCCAGGAATGATGATGGGGTGGGGAAAAGCTTTGTGTGTGTCAATTAGTTGTAAAAGACATGGCTACAGAACCAGAAAGAAGATGGAAACTAGAAGAAAATCAGTGTTTCTATTGCAGTTGTAAAACAGAGAGCCAGTTTGGTATAGTGGTTAGGAGCAATGTTCCCTTTAAGCTATGGAGTCTTGTGAGCAAAAATTCTACTTTGTGAGCTGCTGGCATTAAAGTTGTGAGCGAGCAATTTGGCTCCTGCATCAATTAGTTTGCTCTGGAGCCCTCCTTCCTGAGCTAAGACAAAAATTTGTGAACCAGAGGCTAAAAAACTGTGAGCTAGCTCACACTAACTCAGCTTAGAGGGAACAGTGGTTAGGAGTGCGGATTCTAATCTGGGAGAACCCACTCCTCCATATGCAGCCGCTGGTGTGACCTTGGGTCAGTCATAAATTCTTTCAGAGCTGTTCTCTCAAGGACAGTTCGCCAGAGAGCTCTCTCAGCCCCACCTATCTTGCAGGGTATCTATTGTGGGGAGTAGAAGAGAAAGGGTTTGTAAGCCACTATGAGACTCCTTCAGGTAGTGAGGGGTGGGGTATAAATCCAGTCTCCTCCTCCTCCTCCTGATATACTGGGGCCGATTCAGATCAGAGAATCTGAATCGATCCACAGCAGCCCGAAAGGGACCCGAATGGGCCATTTTCGGGGGTGCATTCAGCTCAGACGAATCAAATGCACATCCATAAGCCACGGCATGAAGCGGTGCAAGGCAGCCAGGCAAGCGGGCCTGTCAATAGTGAAAACATAGGGTATATTCTGGTTACTTTTCCCCCACCATAGAGAACAATGGAGGGGATGGGGGCAACCTGTTTGGATCCCCTGGTCCAATGTTCTTGGAACTTGGTGGGTATCTTGGGTAGAGGCTCCAGCAGCTACCCCGCAAGTTTGGAGCCTCTCCCTCAAACCACCTTCCCTCCAACCCCCTAGAATATACTCTATGTTTTCACCATTGACTTCAATGGCCCATAGGCTATAATGGGGCGAAAATGGACATTTGGCTGGCGGAAAGACTCCCCAATCTGCTCCTACTGCCGAAATTGACACGCAGGAGTCTTTCTGCCGGCTGAAATTGATTCTGCCCGATTCGGCTGCCAGGCCAGGATGGAGCCCCTGGCGCTGCTGACAGGTGGGGAAGTTGTGGGGCCTTGGTAGGAAGTCGGGGGGCCGGGCCCCAGAATGCTTCAATGTAGCTACGGGCCTGATTTCGGGTAACAGATATTGAGAAAGACCTTTATCTGCCTGAGACCCTGGAGAGCTGCTGCCAGACAGAACAGACTGTACAGAGCTGAAGGGTATGATTTGGTATAAGGCAGTTGGGTGAGTTCATATTGGAAGGGACTACAACTTAGTGGTCAACATGTGCTTTGAATGTGGAAGGTCCTGGCATCTCCAGTGGATGTTCAGAGGGTGGTCTCTATGGAATTAAAGGTAAAGGTAAAAGTTCCCTTGCTCGAAAGCCAGTCGAGTCCGATTCTAGGGTTGCGGTGCTCATCTCCATTTCCAAGCCGAAGAGCCAGCGCTGTCCGAAGACGTTTCCGTGGTCGTGTGGCTGGCATGATTAAACACCAAGGTGCACGGAACGCTGTTACCTTCCCACTGAAGTGGTCCCTATTTATCTCATTGCAATTTCTTGCTTTCGAACTGCTAGGTTGGCACGAGCTGGAACTAGAGACGGGAGCTCATTCCGTCATGCGGCACACTCGGGTCTCGAACTGCTGAACTACTGACCTTCCACAGCCTGCAGTTCAGCGTCTTAACCACTTGAGCCACTGCAGCTCCTTCTATGGAATTACATTCCCACAAATCCTTCCCCTCCCCAAACTCCACCCTCTCCAGGCACTGCCTCTTGATCTCCAAGAATTTCCAAAGCTGGAGTTGGCAACCCTACTTGGAAATGAGTTGAAAGAACACACTCAGAAATTAGCGTTGCCAAGCTGAGCCCGGTAACTGGTGGGAGGGCTGGGGGGTGGGGACATGTGCAGTTGGCTGTGTTGCTACGTCACTTTTGGGAAAAACCTGGAAGTGATACAGGGTAGCTCTAGGAATTGCCAGAAACTTGACAGCAAAAGTTTCTATGGTATGTTTCAGGAAGTTCCTAGAGCTACTTTGTGTCACTTCTGGAATGATGCTGCCATATTGCTGTTTTTTTCAGTGGGCAAAGAGGGCTGCCAGTAGAAAGCCTCCCACCCGAAAGCAGCCGAAACAGAAATGGATATACAAGCGACTCAGTGCTTTTAATTATTTTCTGTCTCAGCTTTGTAGCTATAGCGAGCGTGCTCTCAAGCATGATAGTAGCGAATAGCTGACTCTGGTAAATCAGGTCTGTGGGCAGCCCAGAGTCACATCCTGAAAGAATCCCTTTTGCTGAACAAGGATACTTACAGACTTGTAGGCCTCAAAGGTGGCTCTGAGCTGCATGTAATTCCTCTGTGCCAAGACATGATTGAAAGCCGATTCATCTGTCCCCCAGCGGCCTTCTCCTGCCTCAGAAACGGAAAATCGTTATAAGCATGGCCTTGCTGCCCGATCCTCAGCTAAGAGAACAACCCGCCCCCTTAAACGTTGAAGGAGGACAGGGGTAGAAAACGTCCCTACTCATAAGGGCCATTTAGCAACGGAGTGGAGCCGCCAAGGAAGCTTTTAACTCCATGTTAAATAAATAAATTAAATAGCGAATAGGGTTGCCAAGTCGTTTTTTGTCCGCGGTGGGGGGCTCCCGGACGGCATCTTCAGCGCGCGCGCCGCATGCACATGATGACGCCGGGCACGTCACAGAGTTTCCCCCTCAGAGTTTTCCCCTCAGATGGCTGTGGCCCCGCCCCCAGCATTCCTGGCGTCATCACGTCACCTCCGGGCGGCGCGCGCGTGGGGGTGGGGTTTCCCCCGGGGCCCGATTCCGCGGCAGTGGAAATCGGGCCTTTAAAGCAGGGGGAAATCCGCCCCCCGGGGGGACTTGGCAGCCCTAATAGCAAATATTCAGACTTTGCTTAATAGGAACTGAGGGGCAGTTGACAGTTTCCAAGGGCCTGGCTGGAATGTAGGGGGAAAAGAAAGTGTAGGGTGAAAAAAATCAACTTCTTCTTGTTGTTGTTTCAGTCTGTACTGGTCAAGAAAGAGCCAGAGCTATAAAAAGAGATTTTTTCCCCCATTGGGCTGACAACCTGCTTAAAGGCACAGGGGGTTCCTCTGGGCGGCCGCACTGCCTGTCTCCGTTGCCAAGTTCCTGGTGGAGCCTGGAGATCCCTCAGAATTACAGCTGATCTCCAGATGACAAGAGATCAGTTTCTTCGGAGGAAATGGCTGCTTCGCAGGGCAGACTGAGGGCTCTTTTTGTAGCAGGTACTCATTTGCATATTAAGTGACACACCCCTAATGTAGCCAATCCTCCAAGAGCTTACAGTAGCTCCTTTAAGAAGAGCTCTGTAAACTCTTGGAGGATTGGCTACATTAGGGGTGTGTGGCCTAATATGCAAAGGAGTTCCTGCTACAAAAAGAGCCCTCTGGCATTATACCCTGCTGATGTTTCCCCCCCTCCCCAGACCCCGCCCTCCCCAGGCTCCAATCCCTAAACCTCCAGGTATTTCCCAACCCGGAGCTGGCAACCCGGCTTTGTGCCCTCCTCATACCGACTCCGCTTTCGTCTTGCACTAAGGTCATGCTTACTTCGTAAAGGTCCTTGGCATCTTTTTGAGCTAGGCTTGCATTGACCTCCAGCCCTTCCTCTCTGTTAGCCTGGTGAAAACGATATTGCGTGAAGAAGAAGATAAAAAACCAATCAAACAGATGTCAGACATCAATGGGAAGTAATTTCAGGTGTGTTGCCATGTTTGTGTGCAGTATAACGAAACAAAAACGCAAGGGTAGACCATCAACAAATATACACATTTCACAAGTTGCCGGTAGACACAAGTCTATTGGAACATGGTAACATTACATCAATAAATAAAGTAAGATTGGTGGTCATAATTCAAAGATAATGGTCACAATAGTGGTAATAAACAACAAGAGACTCCTCTGAATCCTTTCATGAAATAGTGTCGACGGGATCTCACAAACAAGGCAGAGCAGGGCTTTTTTTGTAGAAAAAGTCCAGCAGGAACTCATTAGCATAATAGGCCACACCCAACAGCAGGAACTCATTAGGATTGGCTACATTAGGGGTGTGTGGCCTAATATGCTAATGAGTTTCTGCTGCTAGGTGTGGCCTATTATGCTAATGAGTTCCTGCTGGACTTTTTCTACAAAAAAAGCCCTGCTCTGCCTTGTTTGTGAGATCCCGTCGACAACATTAGGGGTGTGTGGCCTAATATGCTAATGAGTTTCTGCTGCTAGGTGTGGCCTATTATGCTAATGCGTTCCTGCTGGGCGTGGCCAACACGGAAGCCAGCCGGAACTCCGTTCCTGTGCGTTCCTGCCCAAAAATAGCCCTGAGGCAGAGGTGTCCCAAAGGACAAAGAAACTTCTACAGCTGAAAGACGTCCTTCCCAGGTACGCCAGACATTTCAAAACATTCTTCCTCAGCTACACGGCCGAAAAATGGAACCAGATTCCCACAATAGTCTAGGCACAGCTCATATCTCAAATGGAATCATTTCTGACAAAAAGTGGGGAGAGGAGACCCAAGTATGTCACTCTGAGCTCCTCAGAGGAAAGCCAGGATAAGAATGTACTCTCCAACACAATTTTAGGAGCTCAGGGTGGCGCTGATAGTTCTCCTTGTTGGGATATCTGGCTAATATGGCAGAGTTTGTCCAGTCATAGAAGCGTGATACTGCGTGCAAGTAAGTAAAACTCCCAAGAAGTACATTGCAAAAGTAAAGCGTATATTTGTTCGGGTAGATTCAGTTCACATTCAGGCTGCAGTTGACAGGAGAGAAGCCTAAGCTAAAGAATACTAATCCCTATCACAAGTGGCCGGTAGGGATTGTCCCCACCCCTAATAATTGTGGCCATAGGTTAGGGATAAATGAGTAACTGTAGCCGCTCAGAGACCTCTTAGGGGGTTAGAGCGGGGTAGTAAGCTGAAAGAAATAAATGAAAATAAATAAACCCAGCATCATGTACGTGGAAGTATGAGGACACTGCTTCTACGGAAGAGAGCTATAGATGCATCTGACTCCATGAAGAGCCATGAGGAGAAGTGGTGTAAGAGAAAGGGTCAGAGAGCCATTCTCAGGTTAAGACAAGCAGAGACACCCCATTAAGGAGATAACACATACACAGTAAGAGCAATGTGGCGCCCCGCAATGTCCGGGCATGTTGAGTCACTTATTCCAACACTCATCTCCTCCGTTTTATGTTAATAAAAACTCTGTGAGGAAGATTAGACTGAGAAAGAACGAGCAGCCCAAGTTGACCCAGAGAACTTCACGGCTGACTGGGAATTTGGTCTCCCCATTGAATGGGGCCCATACCTAACCTGACATCTTGGCTTGGATCCCGTCTTAAGATTTCCACAGATGGCATTTCCATCTGCGGAAATATGACTTCCCCACATCCTCCTCCTTCCTGCTGTTGCTCCGAATGCCCCCCCCCCCCAATGCTGCTTCTGGGGGTTGGGAGACCCCACCAGAAAGCTTGGCCAACTTCCCTTGCATTTCCTTTGCAATGAAATGCAAATATCGGCCAATCAATTTATTGCAACAGTCAGCGACCAGCAGTACAGTTTGATTAGACATTTTTTAAAAAGTGATAAAAGAGATAAAATTAACAGCATAATAGATCATCCTAAGTAACTATAACATCATACCGCCCTATAGGATTTTCGATTTTCAGTGCTTATAAACCTGAACACAGAATTTAGTCACCTGATGAGTAGTCTGGTGATTTCTATCTGACAAAAGATAATCAAGCTTGATTTTATTTGATCTTCCAGGAAAATTTTCCAACAGAGGACTAATACTTTCCGATCGAACCTTTGCATAATTAGGACAGTTAAAAATATATATGTTCTATAGAATCAATTTCACCCAAGGAGCAAGAACAGAGCCTTAAGGAGTAAGGGATTGCTTTAAACCTCCCTTCCAGCACTGCCGAAGGCAAAGTCGGACTTCTGGCCAATGTGAATGCCCTTCTGGTGTTGTTATACCCCAGAAAGTATAGATAAGCAGCTGGGGCTGCAGTGTATCTATTTTTTTCTGAGGAAATGAATTCTGGAGATCTTGAAATGTCCGTTTGTCTTTCAATATCTGTCACTCTTTGTTTGGTGAGTGATTTTGCCTGATCTATTCCAAGATCCAATAGAGATTGGGGAGATAAGCCTAATGTTTCAATAGATTTCAACAGGGCTTTTTTTGTAGAAAAAGCCCAGCAGGAACTCATTAGCATAATAGACCACACCCAACAGCAGGAACTCATTCGCCTATTAGGCCACACCCCTGACAGTACAGCTCATTGGCATACGAGGCCACACCCCCGTGTTACCAGAAGTATGCTCAGCCAGCCACACCCACCTTTTGCTTCTTATTCTGTTTACCTTGTTTGTTGTCCAAACCCAGGGCTTTTTTGTAGCAGGAACTCCTTTGCATGTTAGGCCACACACCCCTAATGTAGCCAATCCAAATGAGTTTCTACTGTTGGGTGTGGCCTATTATGCTAATGAGTTCCTGCTGGGCATGGCCAGCTTGGGAGCCAGCCGGAACTCCGTTCCTGTGCGTTCCTGCCCAAAAATAGGCCTGGATTTCAAGACCTCCTATGCCAACTGGAATGGAATTGGTTTTGCAGCATTAAGGAGAACAAAATGCAAATATAAATCACCTGCACTGTCTAGAATCTTCCATTTACAATAGATTTTGTTCTATCTGTGTTAACAACTACGATAAGTGATGCATTGCATCTGATGAAACAGGTTTTTCTTTTCTCTTTTGGAAACACACCTCCCTAAGTGTGCTAGCCCTCAAGATGTCACAGGATACTTTGGTTCTTTCACATACTAAAAGAGATTTCACAAAGACATTCACCACTTTTATGTCCTACCACGCTTGATGTTTCTGTTCCAAACAATACCAATTTTACACAAAACGGATTTATTAGCAAAGTGGCAACAAGAGTTGTCAAAATTTGTTTGGGCAGGCAAGAAACCAAGGATTAAAATGAAAATACTTTGTGATGCCAAAGAAAGAGGAGGATTGCAATTACCAAATCTTAGACTATATTATGAAGCGGTCTGTCTAACCTGGATAGATAAATGGGTGAAACTTGAAGATGATAAATTGCTGGGGTTAGAGGGACATGACTGTAGATTTGGTTGGCATGCATATTTATAGTATGACAAGATAAAAATGGACAGCTTTTTAAAACTTCACTTGGTGAGGAAAGCTTTGTATATGGTATGGACGAGATATAAGAAATACCAAAGTGATGAAAGACCATTGTGGATTGTACCAGTAGAGGTGTTGACATCTTACTCAAGGCAATGAGGTAGAGACTGGTTGCCGTACAGAGACCTAATTAAAAAAGAGGGAACAGATTGGGTAATGAAAAAGCAGAATGATATTGACTATGACTATGAATGGTTGAAATATATGCAGATTTATGATCTTTTTAGATCAGACAAAAAAGAGTGGAGGAGGAAAAAATATTTCTAAAATGTATAAGGTGTTGTTAAAATGGTATACTGAAGATGAAACTGTTAAAGAACAAATGTTAAAATGGGCTATTAATATGAATAAGGAAGTGGCTATGGAAACCTGGGAATATTTGTGGAAAAATTCTATTAAGATCTCGACATGTACTAATGTTAAAGAAAATTGTTATAAGATGATGTATAGGTGGTACATGACACCTAAGAAAATTGCAAATATGAATCAAAATATGTCAAACAAATGCTGGAAATGTAAGAGGCATGAGGGCTCATTTTATCATATGTGGTGGACTTGTGAGAAAGCTGTAGACTTTTGGACAAAAGTCCACAATGAAATGCAAAAAATATTGAAATGTTCTTTTAAAAAAGCACCGGAAATTCTGCTTTTGGGACTTAAAATGGAAGAAGTCAATACGACTAAAAAGACTTTACTCTGGTACCTGATAGTGACAGCGAGAATGATTTATGCCCAATTTTGGAAGACAGAAAAGGTACCAGAGGTTGAAGAATGGATACAAAAAGTTCTGTTCATGGCACAAATGGATAAGATTACAAAAAAATTGAACAACAAAGAAGATGATGAGTTTTTTGGAGAATGGAATGACTTTAAAATTTATCTGGAAAAGAACTGGGATGTGAAACAAAATTTAATATGTTTAGATCAATATTAAGTAAAATGAGGTTATCTTGAGATTGTAAGTTACGATACGAAAAATGACTTAATTAACGATGTTTTTAAAATGAAAAGTGGGGAGAAGCATTGCGGGAAGCCACAGAAGGGGGGGGGGCGGAAATGGGAAATGGGATAAATAATGGAAAAAGTGAAAATGTTTTAATGTCAAATGATGAATTTCCTATGAAAATAAAAAAATTTGTTTACCAAAAAAACACACAAAGACATTCACCACTTTTATACTGCCCTCTGGTGAATATTGTCATATTGGCAGTTCTTTCCCTTTCCTTTTTCTCCTGCAAAAAGTTAACTCTGCAAAAAGTTAACTAGAAGGAACTGAAAAGAGAGATTTTTCTGGACAACATGAAACATGACACAGGAGGCTGGGTCCAGCGATCTGTCGGGGAAGGAACTGAATGATGAGGAGCTCTCCCTTGTTTTCTTCTTCCCCTTGCAGTCACGTCTCAGGCTGAGAAAAAGTTGACTTCATTTGACTTTGGCATGGAATAGTGAGGAGGGAGGGAAAGGATAGGGTCACCCGCCCTTGCCTGGCAACGGGCAGGAGGATAAGGGGGTAGAGACATGCAGAATGGAACCGCACGGCACCATTTCTGGCCAAAAAAGAAAAAGAAAAAATGAAGTGATTTTACTGTGTCACAGGGCACTCTAGGATTTCACCAAAATGCTATGGTAAAAACCACAGCGTTTGGGGTGATACCTAAAGCATTGTGTGATGCGGTGATGTCAGTTCCAGTTTTACAGTTGCGACGCAGAAGCACTGCATGTCCCCCCCCCCCAGCATTTTCCCTCCACTGTACCAATGAGTGGCAGTGGGGTACAGGGGCGGCTGCCAGCAGGGACTCTCCCGCTCATGGTGGGAAAATCCCAGCAAAGGGGCAAAATCCGCTTTCCTCCATCTCCTGTCAGAGGAGTTGCACTGACAAAGGAAGGGTGATTTTGCTCTCTTCCACCTCCTCACTGGAGCCGTGAGGCTATAAGTCCTTGCACGTTCTGTGACCCTGGAAATATTAAAAATGCAGCACCCATAAAGTTTACAGCGGTATTCTCAGAATCCTATCTTTTCAACCATCTTGCAGTGCCATCCTAAGCAGATCTGCTCAGAATCCTACTCAGGTCTCTTCAATGGGGCTTACTATTGGGTTATGAAAATAAGAAGCAGGAAACTGACCAGATATGAAGGTGCACAGAGAGTTTATAAAGGTGAATATATACAGATATTTACCAGGCCATTGAACAGCATGCCGTGCCTTAGTCTCTGAGAACTGAGTTCCCCATAGCTAACTCAGCAGACAGCTATTATGCTGAACTCTAGCCAATCCCTAACAAGGTGATGTAATCTCTAACAAGACCTGAAAGAGCAACACCTGGTAGAAGCACCTGTCTGTAGTTACATGATTGCTAGCCTGACAGCTAGGTTTGACAGTCAGATCAAACTCATTTACAGTTAACTGCTTGCCACTTTTGACATTTTGACCCATATCTTAATACTTACTCCCAGGAAAGTGCTTTTAGGACTGCACAGTAGTGTTACTTGATTATCTCAGGTCTGATATAAGTGCGATTGGCTGGCAAAGCATGAAAAAATTGCCCATGCCCTGAGTCTCATGGGCATGCAAGGCAGCTCACGGGCTTAGTTAGCACATAGTCTGCACAGGTGTTGATAAAGTAATTAAATAAATCTGACTTTCTCACCGAGACTCAAGACGCAATAAAAACTGTAAGGCATACCATAAACAATGCAATTGGACAGGATTAAGAAATCAGAACACAATGCATGCACCCTGTTTATTTCAATCAGACAGCCCTAGATTTCCCCTTTTATACATGACATGGCGATGTTACCTTCTTCACAAAGGATTGCAAAATTATCGTCTGGCATGGAAGTTAAAACTACCCTGGTAGTTTTTGTTGGCTGTTATTAAACATAAAAATAGGATATAGATCAAGATGGGTAGCCATGTTAGTCTGTCTGTAGCAGGAGAAAAGAGCAAGAATCCAGGAGCACCTTAAAGACTGACAAAATTTGTGGCAGGGGAGGAGCTTTCGTAAATCACTGCTCACTTCTTCAGATATCTGAGGAAGTGAGCAGTGACTCACGGAAAAGCTCCTATCCTGCCTCATATTTTGTTAGTCTTTAAGGTGCTACTGGACTGTTGCTTTTCTCTACTGATAAAAATAGGAGGGATGATATTTAGTTGATTTTAAGTTATTTGGCATGTACTAACAACGATGCATTACTAACAGTGATGCACATGTCCAGGCTCTGCATGGGTAGCAGCCTATTTTTAAAAAGATACTGGGACAGACAAAGCCAGACTGGTGAATCTTTTTGCTTTGCCGGCACCACTTTCAGATCAGTCCTCAGTCCGTCTAACGTGTGGTCCAATGGTTTTCGGTCATGATACAGCAACAGCCAGACTCTTACCTTCAGCACAGACAAAAGGATCTTTCTTAGGCAACCACTCGTCTCACTTTGAACATCAGATTCCAGATCCCTGTCGAAAACTACGGAGAAAAGAGAGAGCTTGTGTGCACGGCCCTGACCTGGGTGGCCCAGACTTGCCCGATCTTATCATATCTCAGAAGCTAAGCAGCTCCAGGTAGTACATGGATGGGTGACCGCCAAGGAAGTCCAGGGGTACCATGCAGAGGCAAGCAATAGCAAACCACCTCTGAACTTCTCTTGCCTTGAAAACCTTACAGGGTCACCATAAGCGCTTGGGTGGGAGACCACCTAGTCAAGAGTTGCTATGCAGAGACAGGCAATGGCAAGAAGAAGAAGAAGAAGAAGAAGAAGAAGAAGAAGAAGAAGAAGAAGGAGAAGAAGAAGAAGGAGAAGGAGAAGGAGAAGGAGAAGGAGAAGGAGAAGGAGAAGGAGAAGGAGAAGGAGAAGGAGAAGGAGAAGGAGAAGGAGAAGGAGAAGGAGAAGGAGAAGGAGAAGGAGAAGGAGAAGGAGAAGCAGGAGGAGGTGGAGAGTGGATTTATACCCTGCCCTTCACTACCCAGAGGAGTCTCAGAGCGGCCTACAAACTTCTTTCCCCTTCCCTCCCCACAACAGACACCCTGTGAGGTAGGTGGTGCTGAGAGAGCTCTGACAGAAACTGCTCTTTTTCAAGAACAGCTCTTGTCAGAACTACGGCTTGCCCAAGGTCATCCAGCAGGTGCAAGTGGAGGAGTGGGGAATCACACCCGGTTCTCCCAGATTAGAAGAAGAAGAGGAGGAGGAGGAGGAGATTGGATTTATACCCCGCCATTCATTACCTGAAGGAGTCTCAGAGTGGCCTACAATCTCCTTCCTCCCCCCCTCCCCACAACAGACACCCTGTGTGGTAGGTGGGGCTGAGAGAGCTCTGAGAGAACTGCCTCGTGAGAGCACAGCTCTGAATGAACTTGTAACTGACCCAAGGTCACACCTGCAGCTGCATGTGGAAGAGTTGGGAATCAAACCCGGTTCTCCCAGATTAGAGTCCGCACTCCTAACCACTACACCAAACTGGCTCTTTCACAGGGTCACTAAAAGTCGGTTGTGACTTGATGGCCCCTTCCTCCACCACCACCAATGTGAGATGGTATGCGGAATGGTACGGGCATACCCTGCTCTGGTCAGATCTCGGAAGCTAAGCAGGCTTGGGACTTGGATGGGACCCCACCAATGAAGACTCTGCAGAGGAAGGCAATGGCCAACCACCTCTGTTCGCCTCTTGCCTTCAAAACCCCACAGGCTGCCTGCAACTTGATAGCCCTTTCCACCACCACCGGCACACAGCTGTTTTTATGAAAGGGCGGAGGGTCTTTAAAAAAAAGATGTCACTTACTCCTTTTGTAGGCATCCTTTATGGCTACGATTTGCTGGGACAGAGATAATAAACACATGTGATCAGTAACGTATGCATGATTTTAGAAAACACACTGGTTTGGAAATAATGGCAAACTGTGATTTGCGGCAATGTGAGCAAACAGAATTTATGCCTGGCCAATTCAGAGGCTTCATGCTGCCGGCCAACCACAGAGACTATTAGGTATCTGCTATACCCTTCACTGCCTGAAGAGGGCTCTGACTCTTGAGCACACAGAGCCTCAGGTAGCTCTCTGAGCTGGTTCCCTGCAGCCGGTCATGAGGTTTCTGGTCCCAGCCTAAGACTCGTCGACAAAGAGTGGCCTTCTCTGCAGTCGTTTTTCTTAAAGGCATGCAAATGATTCAGAAATACAGCCACCCTACCTGGTTGACCCGTGTACAAAGGACCTCAATTAGTACAGATTCATCAGTCCCTGCTCCTTTCATTGCTTTTCGAAGTTCTCTGGCATCGTATTCACATGGCCGGTCCAGGAGGGCCAATGCTGTCTTTTCAAAGTTCCCACTCAGCTCTCCTTTGAGAACTTCTTCCAAATCCTGAGAAAAAGACCATAACAAAGACATGCAAACTGCAGTCAAGGATGCCTTATGTCAGCCAGACCAAAAATCAGAGGATGGGTGTAAAGTATTCAGAGTTCAGCACCCCAGTCCATCAAGGGAGAACTTTCCTGGCTTTCCACAGACTATGCAAAACTTAGCAAAGTTCGAGTCCAGTGGCAAAACTTAGCAAAGTTCGAGTCCAGTGGCAAAACTTAGCAAAGTTCGAGTCCAGTGGCAAAACTTAGCAAAGTTCGAGTCCAGTGACCAACAAAGTTTTATTCAAGGTATAAACTTTCATATGCAGGCTTTTTTTACACAGGTAACAGGGTGGTACTATGATGGAATGATTCAGAAAGAGGCTCTTGTAAAGGGATAGGGACTGTGAACTATAGTACTGGGTGTCGCCTGTTACTGTAAGTATTTTCTTATTGTGTCATTTCTGCATTGTTTGATGTTTTGTATTTAAATGCTTATGCTTTGTTTCAGCTTTTTTCCAGCTCTGTGTCATGAGTCAGCCAGGGCTCAGCGATAGCGAGGACTCCTCAGGAGAAGCCAACCTTGAGGTAACAGAAGCTGACCAGCAGGAAAATTAGCGGCAGGCTTGTCAGGATTCACAACCAACAGCTGGTGCCGAGCCACCAAGACCCTCCAGCCCTGATTCAGCATGTGAACCTCAGTTGGCTGTTCCCAGCCCACCAGTATCACCTACACCCTTAGAGTGCTGTAGACGGAAGCTGAGAACAGAACTACAGACAAGACGGCAAAGTGCACGCCTCCTGGCCCAACGCCAGCTGCTTGCTGATAATGAAGATGAATAGTTGCAGTTGAGCTACTGGTTGCAAGCATGACCCTTCAGTGTGGGGCTATAAAACCAACCAAGAGGCTGTTAGGCGTGGATGCAACACATACGATAGATGCTAAGCCACTGACTCTGCTTTGGCTGATACTTGGAGCCTGCAAGTCAGTACACTCTGTTTGAGATTTCTGCCTTTCAGATTTCTGCAATCCAAACACTATTGCTTATACTTTGTTTCTGCAATCCAAACCCTATTGCAGGGGTCCCCAACGTGGTGCCCATGAGCATCACGGTACTCGCCAACACCTTTCCTGGTGCCCACTGAGAGATCATAATAAAACATATGGGAGGTGGACCTAAGCTTGTAAGCTTGTAAGCATTAGGAACTGGAAACCGGTCTGGTAGTTAGGTGGCCGTGTTTCATTGGAAATAATATCGAATATCGTTCATTGCCAGAAATGGCACCTTTCTTCATTAGTGTATGTCAGAAATGGCTCCTATGACGCATGGCAAACACAGCCACAAATATCCATTTGTCCCAGTGAATATACCTTGCCATATATGGCTTTGTAGTTCTGTTTCATTTGTTGCCTCTGGTCTGACGAACGCGTGGACAGGAGCTCGATGATAACCTTTTCGTCGGTTCCTACAAAACATGAATGGGAGAAAGTAACACCGTCTCCTCACTCAGAGTTACCTGCAGAGGAAGGTGATGACCAGTTATTTCCTCGACACCTACGGGTCCACTGCTGGTGCCAAATAACCAACACAGTCAGTCACAAACAATTGATGAATACGGTTGACTGCCCCTTATCTGAACTTCAAGGAAGTGAAACTCCATGTAGCCCCACGCCTTTTTGCATCCCTTAAATGGCTGCGTAATCTGTAAATGATACCTCTGCTTATCTTATTATCCGGGTTGCAAAGATATCCTGTCAAACAAAGCTGCATTGCAGAAGTATGTGCATATAATCACTCGCTACTTTCTATAAACGGGAGTCTAGCGGCACCTTTGAGGTTTATCTTTGCTGCACCTAACAAGCCTGAACTCTCCCTAGAAGCTAAAATGACTAAACGGAGGCTGTCGCACTTTGGTCGCGTTATGAGAAGAGGCACTGGAAAAGGAGATAACACTAGGAGAAGCTGAAGGCAGCAGGAAAAGAGGAAGAGCCGGCATGAGATGGGTTGACTCAGTAAAGTCAACGGCCCCCAGTTTGCAAGAACTGAGCAAGGCTATTAACGATTTCGGAGGTCATTAATTCATAGGGTGGCCCCAAGTTGGAAGCAACTTGACTGCACTTAACATACACAAACAACACCACTACCCCTCTGGATTAGATTCCCATGTGTTCCGAAAGGACAAAAGGTGGGACAGGACCAGTAAAGACAGTAACAATTATGAAATGCTGCATTTTAGATTTGGTTCTGTTACTGTCAGGGGTCATTTCCTGCAGGAGCACACAGGAGTGGAGCTCTGGCAATAAAGAGCCCAGGGGGCGGGCAATGCAAGAAGCCCCACCCCCTGATCCCAGCAGCCCTCAGTCAGAGCAAGAAGCAGCCAGGTAAGTTGCAGAGGCGCCCCCCCCAGTCCAAAACAGTCCAGTGGCACATTTAAGACTAAGTTTTATTCAGGTACAAGCTCTCCCTCCTCTGCGAGGACAGATCTGCACGTTTCCCCCCCCCCCAATAGCTAGCAATCCAAAACAGTCCAGTGGAGCCTGAGCGGTGGGGGTTGCCTTCTTACACACTTCCGGTGATGTCAAGGAGTGTGGCATATGCAAATAAGTTATGCTTAAGATGTATGCTAATGAACTCCTGCACCTCTTTTTCTATGAAATGAGCCCTGGTTACCATATTACAATTGGGGGGGATGGTGGCATGGATTAAGTATCCACCGTAGCCTACCAATTCTGCTCCTGTTTACAAGGTTCTAAATTTCCAAATTCATCTAGTTCTGATAAGTCCGTTGTTTGGGATGTCTGTTCAGAAATGTTTGCGCCTATATTTTGTGGCCTCCTTTGGTCATAGCTTTCCTTTTCTACCAGCCAGCATCCTGAAGCCTTGGAGCAGAACTATATACCACAAGAGAAAAATAGGTTTGGGGATCAAGGAGTCATTCCCGAATGGGTAGAAGAACCGATTCCAACCATAAGGAACTATTTTTATCGTATAACAATCTATTTTCTTGTAACAGAACGATTTGGATACATAAACTGGTGACGATTAGCCTGGTCTAACTACCCTCATAGTAGGATATGTGAATTACTGGAAAAAATTAGTTGGTGGAAAGGGGAGGTACAAAACACTTCCCCTCCCTGAAGAGTTTCTTTTGAAAATGCTTTCCCCCCCACAGCAGTTTTGGATCCCCCCCCCTTGTAGCCAGTAGGCTGAAACCGGGTTGCCAAACTCCAGGTGGGGCATGGAAGAGAAGAAGAGGAGATTTATTTATTTATTTATTTATTATTATTATTGTTGTTGTTGTTGTTGTTGTTGTTTTATCCCGCCCTCCCGGCCAAGGCAGGCTTAGGGCGACTCACAACAATAAAATCACATAAAACAATCATAATAAAATCACATACATTAATAAATACGACCTCAACATTCAAGCAAGGTAAAGTGCTAGCAGCAATCCTCATTGTCCCAATTGGGTCTTCGGCCTTCTGCGGCTCTCAGGTAATTGGCACGGGCTGTGTTTGAGGGACCTACGGGCCAGGGCTTCGCCAGGGTAGGTATTAATTTTTGGCGGTGGAGGTGTTAGTGATTGTTAATGGTGGCGGCTCCAAAAGCCTGGCAGAAGAGCTCCGTCTTACAGACCCTGCGGAACTGTGAAAGGTCCCACAAGGCCCTCATCTCTTCCGGGAGCTCGTTCCACCAGAGTGGAGCCGCCACCGAAAAAGCCCTGGCCCTAGTTGCCACCAGTCTGGCCTCCTTAAAACATGGGGGGGGGGAGCCGGTTCTGGGTCCCCGATTGCAGTGTCCCCGCCCTTAGTCACAGAGTGGCTTACAATCTGCTTTCCCTTCCCCTCCCCACAACAGACACCCTGTGAGGTAGGTGGGGCTGAGAGAGCCCTTTCGAGAACTGCTCTTTCGAGAACAGCTCTGAAAGAACTTGTGACTGACCCAAGGTCACACCAGCAGCTGCATGTGGAGGAGTGGGGACTCAGATTAGAGTCCATGCTCCTCACTACTACACCAAACTGGCTCTGGAGATCTCCTGGAATTACAACAGACCTCCAGACAACAGAGATCAGTTCACCTTGAGAGAATAGCTGCTTTGGAGGGTGGACTCTATGACATTATAGCCTGCAGAGGTCCCTCCCACCCCCAAACCCCGCCCTTCCCAGGCTCCACCCCCAAATCTCCAGGCATTTCCCAAACTGAAACTGACAAACCTACTCTGAAACCAGATGTAGGCCTGGCTAAGGGGGGGAAACCGTTGTCGTAGGCTTGCCAGCTCTGGGTTGGGAGATACCTGGAGGTTTTGGGGGTGGAGCCTTGGGACCGGGTGGGGTTTGGGGAGGGAGGGGCCTCAGCAAGGTACAGTGCCATAGAGTCCACCGTCCGAAGCAGCCATTTTTCTCTAGGGGAACTGCTATCTTTTATCTGGGGATCAGTTGTAAAAGTGGGACATCTCCAGGCCCCACCTGGAGGTTGGCAAACACACAGTTGTATTTGTGGGGGGTGCATTTGCAGGGAATATCCAGCAAATGTGAAAGGAGTTAAGTATCCATCCCCATCGCCCACAAATCTACCCTTGCAGGTGCTCCTGCGCCTCTGCTTTTGTGCTCTCAGCGCATAAGAATCTAAGACCAAAACAACCTGTCATTCCGCCCTTGGATAAATAATATTCCAGTCAGCCTCTTTCCTTCCTGTGTTTCATCTGCAAAATAATTAGCCCACTGGAGAACTTCAAAACAATTGCTTGTGATTAGCTATGTGGCCCACTTGATTTAACGAGAAACACTATTTTTCCCCCTGAAGTATTTTGATGGTGCTTTCTGGATTTCCGTGTCTCAGAACAGAAAGTGTACCTGAATCTCTGCCAGCTCAGCAGGAGAATAATGGCTCACTTCAGTCTATCCTTTGGTAAGACAGCTTCTTAGCCCTGACCTGGATAGCCCAAGCAAGACCCATCTCATCAGATCCTGGCTGCTAAGCAGGGTTGGCCCTGGTTAGTACTTGGGTGGGAGACCACCAAGGAAGTCTAAGGTCACAATGCAGAGGGAGGCGCCGGCAAACTACCTCCGAATGTCTCTTGCCTTGAAAACCCTTATGGCAGAGGTGTCAAACTCCTTTGTTATGAGGGCCAGATCTGACATAAATGTCACTTTGTCGGGCTGGGCCATGTGTGCCATAAAACATAATGCCAGGTACCGGAGATAGAAACTGTGTAAAGGACAGCAGCTGGTAAGCTCCACATCGGTGTACCCTCACTGCAAGGCCCCATGGGCTGGGAGGGGGATGCCAAGGAAAACCCACCTGGGTAGACTAGAGAGGCAGCTGGGCAGATGCTCCCACGATGCTTGACTGCTGCAGACGAGGTTGTTCTGCCGTGCTGAAGCCACAATGGAGTGGGTCTGCCCACCCCACCCCCAGCACTTTCACCCTTGCATCAGTTGCTTGTGGGCTGCATAAGAGCCTTGGACAGGCTGGATCCGGCCCCCGGGCCTTATGTTTGACACCCCTGCCTTATGGGGTTGCTAGAAATCAGCTGTGACTTGGCAGCAAAAAAAGAGAGGCGTCTTTGGGACTGTAATTACATATGTTTTTAACTGGGAAACATTCTACCACTTAAGTCATTTTGGGTGGGGAAGACGTGGCTGGTTATGTCGCTGGTGACACACTGACTAGGGTTGCCAAGTCGAAGATCGTCGGGAGCGGGGGACTCCTGTCCGGCGTCCTATGCGCGCACCGCACGCACGTCACCAGGAAGCGACGTTATGATGCAGGGCACACTGGGGGCGGGGCCACGACCATCCAAGGGGGAAACATAGAGTTCCTGGTGACGTGCACGCCGGGGGGGGGTTCCCCCCGGGGCCCGATCTGCCGGCGGTGGGGAACGGGCCTCTGGGGCGGGGGTTTCCCCGCCCCGGGGGGGGGACTTGGTAGCCCTAACACTGACATCACTTCCTGTGTGCACAGGAAGTGGTGTCAGTGCATTGGGACACTGCTGCCCCATTTTTCTTGCAATTTCTTTCTCACCGGCCAGCTGATCAGCAGTGGGGGTGGGGGATCCCCTGCCACTGCCGGGGGGCTGACATCCCTATCTATAGGCCTCTGGGTAGATTTACCAGCTCTATTTTGGGAACCCCTGGAGATTCAGGGCCAGAGCCAGGGAAGGGTGGAGTCTGGGGAGGAGCTCAGTGGGTATATGTGATTCCACAGACTCTCCCTTCTGAAGCTGCCATTTTCTCCAGAGAAACTGATCTCTGTAGTCTGAAGATGGGTTATAATTTCTGGAGAACTCCAGGCCCACCTGGAGGGTGGCAACCCTCCTCTCTGGGGCATCCCTTCATTCCTGGAAGGAAGGATTGCCTGCCGGGAGCCGTGGTCACAGCCAAACTTCTGGTTTGTTCAGAGTCACAACTCAGCCATTGGTCCGATCCAGGAAGGAAGGCCTTAGGTTACTGGGAGAGGAAAAGCCTGTCATTTCGGGGGGGGGGGATCGCCCCTGCCTCTCCCCACCCCTGCCTGCCTGGGGCCAGAGAGGGCCTTTGCGGGGCTTCCTTGCACTCCCGCTGGCCTTGCAGGTCCACCGCTGGGCCCCTCATGGGGCTCGGCAGTGGAGCTGCAAGGCCGGCGGCGGCGGCCGGGATCGTTGGGGGCGGGGGTTTGTGGCCTTATGACACACTTCCAGTGATGTCAGGGGGTGTGGCATATGCGAATGAGTTATGCTAATGAGTCCCCCTAGCTCTTTTTCTATGAAACGACCCCTGCACCTCCCCACATCTAAACAAGCATATCATTTCCCCCACAGGTTGGCTCTTCTGCTTTGGGGTTGGGAAATACCTGGGGATTTGGGGGGGCGGAGCCTGAAGAGGGTGGGGCTTGGGGAGGGGAGGGACTTCCGTGGGGTATAATGCCATAGTAGAGTCCGCTTTCCAAAGCGGCCGTTCTCTCCAGCTGAACTGGTCTCTGGTGCCTGGGGGGCATTTGTAATAGCAGGAGATCTCCAGCCACCACCCGGAGGTTGGGAACCCTAGTCTCATCCCACATAACAATTGACAGCAGTCTTACCCATCCCTTTGCAGGCTTTATGTATCTTCTTGGCGTCTCGGTCTGCGTTGAAATCATGATGCCGTCGAATGGTGGGCTAAGATAGCAGAGGAAGAGAGCTCAGCGGCTGGGAAGTCCATGCTGTCTTTCCTGTCTAATCCTCTGCTCCTTTTCTTAAGCACCTCAGAGAACACAACCTTCCCTAACCCCTCCCCAGCACCTAAGTATTCAAATGGCTGGAAAGAGTTTCCTTTTCCCCTACTTGGGTTAATCTTTATGGACCTGGAGCCCATGTGGGTTCGCATCTTTCCCTATTTCACTACATGAATACAGAACCGTGCCATTCTCCCACTGTTCCGCCGAAGCCACCAGATCAACGTTGGGCTATCCATTCAATTTTTTTATCCTGTCCTTTCTCCAAGGAGCTCAGGATGGTGTGCATAGATTTGGTATTTACATTTTTTATTGAGCATATCAGTCAAAACACAGACATAAACTCATTATTCATCTTATCGATATCCTCATTTCGCATTTTTAACAATCGTGAAACAAAAGAAAAAACAATCCATCTGAGGTTGCTATTGCAAACAACCAATTTCCCCCCCTCTTTTAGTCCCTCTTCTTTTCCTATGCCCCTATCTTACCCGTTTATAAATCCCATCCAAGTTCCCCATAACTTATACATACACATAATACCACTCAAAAACTACAGTTCGTTCTAACTTGGATAGTACTATTACCCTGCTTCTGTACCTAAAATGAAAAGTTGAAAGGGTTGCCTCCGATTGTGGGAGCTATAGAGAGGCGCTCTACAGCGAGAGGGGAATCCCCCTCTCTCCCTATATACGGAGGTCTTTGGGGGGGGGCACACTCTTCGCCTCCTTGCTACACCCAGTTATGACGATAAAACCCTAAATTTCAAAATAAACAGTTCCATATTCCTATCCTGCTTAAACATGTTTAGAGATAAAGCCTACTCTTATGCTAATACATCTTGCTTCCAGTTGTTTCCTTTTATTTACACTATAACCTAACTATCAATACCATAATATATTCTACCCTTCACTATTCCCCCTCTTTCAATTTCATAACAGCCTCTACAAGTTTTTCCCCGGTCGTCTCATTATGTGCTGTGAATATTTTATTTTTTATATTAACAGCCAAATGTCCAAGTGCTAACCATCTGTATGGTATTTCCTTTTCTCTTAATGTTTTTGCTGTTTCTCGCAAACTTTGTCTTGCAGTCAGCACCTCTGGGATGACGTCAGCTTTGGAGGGTAGACTCTATGTAGGTGTTAAATACTGGGTTCTAGCCGCATTGCAGTGATCAGCTTTGGTTTATGCAGTGATTTCAGCAAACTATAAGACAAGCTAGCAGGACTGGAACCCTGCTTAAAGTAAAGGTAAAAGTTCCCTTGCTCGAAAGCCAGTCGAATCCGACTCTAGGGTTGCAGTGCTCATCTCCATTTCAAAGCTGAAGAGCCAGCGCTGTCCGAAGACGTTTCCGTGGTCATTTGGCCGGCATGACTAAACACCAAGGTGCACGGAACGCTGTTACCTTCCCACCGAAGTGGTACCTATTTATCTACTTGCAATTCCTTGCTTTCGAACTGCTAGGTTGGCAGGAGCTGGAACTAGAGATGGGAGCTCACTCCATCAGCAGCACCCGGGTCTCGAACTGCTGAACTACCGGCCTTCCACAGCCTGCAGTTCAGCGTCTTAACCACTTGAGCCACCGCAGCTCCGGAACCCTGCTTATAAGCATGCAAAAAACACCACAACCAACACACACGCACTCCAGTGATAGGCTATTTACATTACACTTCTTATCTATTGGTTAGTTCCTGGATCCAGGTGAGCTATTGTTCTAGAGAATCAAGCTCAGCTCGTTCTAGGTACAGCCAGAGGAAAGGCTTAGGCTCAGTACATAACTGTAGGGTTGGAGGGTCTTCAGCAAGACAAAGGATGTACGCCTCCTCTTTCAGAGCACCGGACATGGTGACTGGCATGAGCTGGACTCATGCCACATCTCTGCCCAGCCTAGCCCATGTGCAAAGGGCAGCAGAGTGCTGGTTGGAGTTTGAAGGAAATACCTGGACTGGCTTGCAAGCCTGGGTTTCCCCCTCTCCCACGCAGCAATACAGCTGGGGTAGTGTCTGTGCATAACCCGATAATAATAACTCTGATAAGCATCTTTTTTGCAAGGTTTATTGTGATTCCATAGTTTGGTTTGGGAAAGTCCCGGGATCCTGCCTTGCAGCAATGGGCTAGACTACATGACTTTTGCAGCTCATTATGTAAATATTGGGATGGAGGATTTGCTGCGCTAAAGGCACGAATGTCAGGCGGATTTTCGGGGCGCGATCACACCGCAACATCTGGGAAGCGTAGCACACCCGTGGCCAACCCGTGGCGTCCCGCCGAAGATGCGCAGTAAAAAAGTACCTCGGAAAGTGCACTAGTATCCGGAAAACGCAGGGCAGGGGCGGGCGTCTGATTGCGGGAACGCTAGTATCCTGTGGCATCCAGCGCCCGTCCACGTCCCGTCGCAAACCGGATGTTTTTCGTAAGCGCATGCGCACAAACACGTAACTGAAAGCAGTGCTGCTCAGCGGAACTGTGCACGCGCACAAACGCAAAACGCTTGCCACGCCGCTTCTTTGCCACGTTCCAGTATCGCCGTGTGATCGCCAGCTAACAGCTTAAGCGTGGAGACTCGGGGGACCGTGTGATCAGGCTGCCACGCTTTATTTTGCTCCAGGGTGAACAGCCACGCCTCCCCACCCCCATGTTATCTGGCCCATGTGACCGAGGCCAATGATTACTTACCCTGTTTCCCCGAAAATAAGACAGTGTCTTATATTAATTTTTGCTCCCAAAGATGCGCTAGGTCTTATTTTCAGGGGATGTCTTATTTTTCCATGAAGAAGAATATGGTACACTCCGTCAGGGCAGAGCGAGCAGCAGGCGGCAGCTTGTCCTGGCGGCGGGGCGGGCTCTCTGATTAAAAGAGACCTCACACTTCCTGTCTGCTCCGGCTGCGTGGCGGCCAACAGTGAGTTGTGCGGCGGCGCCCGCCGCTATGGCCCAGAGTCCAGAGTTACGGTAGCTTCGGGGGAGGCCTTATTTTCGGGGAGGTCTTATTTTCGGGGGGATGCCTTATATTTCAGCGAGAGGCAAAACTGTAAGTAGGTCTTATTTTTGGGGGATGTCTTACTTTCGGGAAAACGGGGTAGTTCCTACATATCTCAGAGCCTGCATTTCCCCTTCTGCTGCACAGCGATCCTCACTGCTCTCATGCTGGGCATCTTTCGTGGGTGCTTTGATGACAACACATCACGCTACGGTTACCAACTCGAGGTTAGGAAATTCTGAAGATTTGGGGGCGGAGCCTGGGAAAGGCAGGGTTTGGGGAGGGGAGGGGCCTCAGCAGGGTATAATGCCATAGAATTAGGGTTGCCAGGGTCCTTCTTCAATCTGGGGGGGGGATTTGGGGGGGGGCATTCCGGGGATGGGTGGGGATGCCCCCAAGCTCCGCCCCAAGCCCGGTGGCACATGGGCCTGAATTCCTAGTGGTGAATCGGAGCTGGGAAATCAGCCCCACACATGCCCTGCTTGCAATAAGACCATTTAAAGGGTCTTTTAGCGAGTGGAGCTGCCCTCTCCCTCCCTGCTAAAAGTTTTAAAGGGCCCTTCAGCTGGTCGGTGGGCCATGTGCTCCTCACTGATCAGCTGAAGCCCTTTAAATCTCTGCAGGAGGGGAGGGAGGGGGTGGTCATGGGTGGCTGCAGTTTGGGGGCGGGGCTTCCCCCGCCAGCCAGGTGGCCGGGGCAGATTGGAGCCCCCAGAAGCAGGGGAACCCCACCTGGACCTGGTAGCTGGCAACCCTACATAGAGTCTACCCTCCAAAGCAGCCATTTTCTCCAGGGGAACAGATCTCTGTCAACTGGAGATCAGTTGCAATCCCAAGAGATCTTCAAACCCTGCCTGGAGGTTGGTGAGCCAGTGTTCCCTCTAAGCTGAGTTAGTGTGAGCACGCTCACGGTTTTTTTAGCCTCCGGCTCACACATTTTTGTCTTAGCTCAGGAAGGATGACTCCAGAGCAAACTAATTGATGCAGTAGCTAAATTGCTCGCTCACAACTTTAATGCCAGTCGCTCACAAAGTAAAATTTTTGCTCACAAGACTCCACAGCTTAGAGGGAGCGTTGTTGGCGACTCTGATTTGTTACAGAAATCTAGCTGTGCCAGGCTATTTTTGTGTGTGTCACATCCTCCCCCAAGCTGAAAGAAAGAAAGTCCAGGTGCCACACTACCTATGTTGGTTTCATCTGAAGGAGAGAGCATGGAGAGATGGCATTTTGTTCACACACACACACAAAACCTTTATTGGCATGAAAGCACAAAACATCATGGAAATACGGGGAAAGCATTTTGTTATACACACTCTCAGGGCTATTTTGGGGCAGGAACGCACAGGAACGGAGTTCCGGCTGGCTCCCAAGTTGGCCACGCCCAGCAGGAACTCATTAGCATAATAGGCCACACCCAACAGCAGAAACTCATTAGGGTTGGCTACATTAGGGGTGTGTGGCCTAACATGCGAAGGAGTTCCTGCTACAAAAAAAGGCCCTGGGTTTTGACAACAAGGTAAACAGAATAAGAAGCAAAAGGTGAATGTGGCTGGATGAGCACACTTCTGGTAACATGGGGGTGCAGCCTAATGGGCTAATGAGCTGTGCTGTCAGGGGTGTGGCCTAATAGGCTAATGAGTTTCTGCTGTTGGGTGTGGCCTGTTATGCTAATGAGTTCCTGCTGGGCTTTTTCTACAAAAAGAGCCCTGCGTGACACTCTGTTTGCACACACAGAACAAGGGCGCAGGGGGCAAATGCAGAGAGGTGTTCTGGCAAGGCAGGAGATCTGCTACACCTACTCATCGTGAACCTGAAAGGGTAAACGGTTTGCAGGGAGGTGGCCCAAACAAAGAGCCGTACCTCTTCCCTGAGTAAAGCACTTACTGACAGACTTGCTTGCTGTGCACATATTCGAAGGTCATAAATCTGCTGAACGATTGCACCAAATTGGGTGCTACAACCCACCCATAAAGGTGCCAAAGTGCAGAATCCTTAGGATGTAACAGGGAGAAAAGAATGTGTCCTTATTTGCTACAGAGGTTATTTGTGTTGGGCTAATCTATGATCGGAGCTGCGGTGGCTCAAGTGGTTAAGACACTGAACTGCAGGCTGTGGAAGGTCGGTAGTTCAGCAGTTCGAGACCCGAGTGTGCCGCATGACGGAGTGAGCTCCCGTCTCTAGTTCCAGCTCCTGCCAACATAGCCGTTCAAAAGCAAGAAATTGCAAGTAGATAAATAGGTACCACTTCGGTGGGAAGGTAACAGCGTTCCGTGCGCCTTGGTGTTTAGTCATGCCGGCCACATGACCACGGAAACGTCTTCGGACAGCGCTGGCTCTTCGGCTTTGAAACGGAGATGAGCACCGCAACCCTAGAGTTGGATTCGACTGGCTTTCAAGCAAGGGAACCTTTACCTTTAATCCATGATCAGCTTCTGTCATTCTGATTTAGGGTTCCCAACTCCAGGTTAAGAAATTCCTGGAGATTTGGGGATGGAGCCTGGGGAGGGCGGGGTCAGGGGAACGGAGGGACCTCAGCAGGGGACAATGCCGTGGAGTCCACCCTGCAAAGCAGCCGTTTTTGTAAAGGGGAACTGGCCTCTGTTGCCTGGAGATCAGTTGTGATTCTGGGAGGCTTCCAGGCCCCCACGTGAAGGTTGGCGACCGTATTCGGACCCCAGCCCTCACTACAAAGGATAACTGGGTGGCAGTGGCTCCTCATATTTTAGCACCCAAATGCAGACAGCAAAATAGCACTTCTCTCTTGCTGCATTCTCAAAGATAAAAAGGAACGTGCATGTTTTCTATGAACATTTCCACATGGGTTATCTCTGTCCCAGGTTCAGTGCTGTTGGGAAGGGTTTTGGGTCCCCCCCCCTCCACTTCCCTGTCATGGTACATCTGTGCATCTTCTGGGTCTCCTAGCTTTTCTCTGATCTTCCTCAAATCTGCTTTGCTGGGAAGTTTTGGCAAAGATCATAGTAAAGCCTGGATAGCTGTTATGCATACGGTTGCCAGGTCCTAACTGTGCTCCGGAGGGAGAGGGGGCTGGCTCCAGTCTTCTTCCTGGAGCCTTTGGCACGCGCACGTGACATGATGATGTCACCCGGAGGTGACATCATCACACAGGGCACATTGTGGGGGATGCTCTAGCATTTGAGAAAAAAACCTCTATGCTTACCATAGAGTTTTTCCTCAAATGCTAGAGCGTCCCCCCAAAAATGTGCCCTGAACGATGATGTCACCTCTGGGTGATGTCATTGTGCCAGGCTGTTTGGGGATGGGGCTCCCCCTGCTGGCCAGCTGAGCGACGGTGGATGCCCCCCCCCAAAAAAGCAGCAAAACCCCTGCCCCATTGGGGGATGGCAACCCTAGTTATGCACGTTGGAAAGTTGGATTCCCCCAACCAGGTGGCAGCCATTTTCCTTCATGCTGTCCCTAATGGTGGCCTTCTCCTTCTCTGCACGACCAGGGGGCCCTTAAAAAAATAACTGGCAATTGAATATCACTATATGTTTATATAACATTTGTAGCAGGTTCTCTGAATTCCCAGATTTCATTAAAAAACACTCTAGCTCCTTTCATTGTGGAAGTATAAGGGGAAAAGCCAGAGTCCTGATATTTTTAAACATATGACACTGATAATTCAGAGATCCCATTATACATATTTTTAAAATGGCATATCAATAGGACTAAAATGAGGCTATCACACTTCACATTGTGAGGAGCCACTAGAAAAGACAATAATGCTAGGAGAAATTAAAGGCACAGAAAAAGAGGAAGACCCAACATGAAATAGTTTGACTCAATCAAGGAAGCCATGAGGACCCTCAGTTTGATAGACCCGAACAAGGCTGTTAAGGACAGGATTCGGGTTGCCAAGTCCTTATCGTAGGTATACTGGGGGAGTCCAGCGCTGCTCTGGAAGTTCATGTGCGTGCGCAAAGCGTGTGCATGCCGCAATTACATCACCCGGAAGTGATGCAACCACGTCGGGCATGCCGGGGGCGGGGCCACAATAATCTGAGGGAAAACCATAGAGTTTTCCCTCGGATGACAGCGGCCCCGCCCCCAATGCACCCGACGCGACTGCGTCACTTCCGGGTGACGTGCTGATGACGGGCACGTCGTGTGCTTTGGGGGTGGGGTTCCTCCCGGGGCCCAATCCACCAGCGGTGGGTAACGGGCCTCTCGGGTGGGGTTTTCCCCGCCCCCAGGGGGACTTGGCGAGTCTAGACAGGATGCTTTGGAGGTCATTCATTCATAGGGTCAGAGGTCATTTCGGGGGGGATCGCGGGGGATCGCAGTTCCCCCGGGTGAGGTACGGGGGTGGGGCACATGACGAAGCCCTGCCCCCTGCTTCCGGCCGCCCCGCTTCCAGCCCTCATTCAGCCAGGAGGAGGCAGGAGAAGAGGGAGGGTAAGTTGCTCCGCCGGCGGTCGGGACCGTTGGGGGCGGGGTGTGTGGCCTTATGACACACTTCCGGTGATGTCAAGGGGTGTGGCCTTATGACACACTTCCGGTGATGTCAGGGGGTGTGGCATATGCTAATGAGTTATGCTAATGAGTTCCCCTAGCTCTTTTTCTACGAAACGACCCCTGCATAGGGTCACCATGCGTCAGAAATGACTTGATGGCACACACACACACACACACACACACACACACACACACACACACACACACGATATTCAGTTACTAATTTAAACAACTGAAAAAGCTTGGGGGAGGAAGGATGGCCGCTGCTTGGGGGACTGGGGCACTGAAAATTACAGGGAAACGTGCCATGAGGAAGCCCTGTTGCAGCCGTGTTGCATCAATAGCCACACTGGCAATGGTAACCAATAGCCACACAGCCCTGTGTGGTTTTGACCAAATGAATCTATTCCTGCAACATGGTGGGAGCTGTGTTCTGGCAGAAGTCCTGTTTACTCAGGCTGTCTGCCAATTTTTGCGGGGGCTTAGATCAGTCGACTTTGAATCGATCAACCGCATTTAAACACAAGAGCGTTTTTCATAAGCCATTTTGAGGATACTGAAAGAAGTGTGATTTTGTCACTGTGGTCACAGCGGGTGTGGAGGGGGAGGTATTTGTGAATTCCCTGCACTGTGCAACGCCATGATTCTATGATTCGTTTACAATCTGATTTTCAAAAGCTAGTCTACATTCCCAACGTGTAAAATTTATCCCGTTAAAATACTGATATGCCCTCTTTCCAACCAAATAGAGTCCCCAAGGCAGCGAACATCAGGGATTAAAACATTCGAAGCATTAAAATAACATTTAAGATGTATATATAAATATTCAATGATACGATAATCACTTTTTCTACTTCATGTCACAGCTGACTTGTGGCGACCCCGTAGGGTTTTCAAGGCAAGAGACGTTCAGAGGTGGTTTGCCACTGCCTCCCTCCGCATCATGACCCTGGGATTCCTATCCAAATACTAGCCAGGGTTGACCCTGCTTAGCTTCTGAGATCAGACAAAGTCAGGCTAGCCTGGGCTGATACAATAAGCACACATAGACCCACAAACACACACACAAACAACCAAGGAGGAGGGCCAACAAGATTGCCATGTTTAATTCCGTATTAGAATCACAGTTCAGCTAAAGGTGCCCAAATAGCCTGAAAATGGGAACCAGGTTTCCCTTTATTCTCAGCCCAAATATTAACACGGGATCCCTCTAATTCATGCAACAAACAGGGAAAGCCAGCCTGTTAGCTCATCAGAACAGAAGTGGAAGGAAGGACTCAGTGGAAGAGAGGTGTTTACACTTACGTGAAAGTTGCCCATTTCCCCTTCGTGCTCAAGAGCCTTGGTTCGTACTGGAGAAAGCATCTGCCGTTGTCAGGTTTTATGGTACTACAGTTCCGGGATTAATAAATAACTTCTGACATTATCTTAGTCATTTAATGTATAAGTAGGTGTTCACTAAAAGACTGTCCCTTTGGCAAAATATAGGGAGCATGAACCTGTTAGTAATTTTCTAATAGTCAATATGTTTATTCAGGCAAAAAGATGGGGCATTGGAGACAAAAGAAATCCTAGGAAAAAATATAACATCTGTAAGTAAAGGTAAAGGTTCCCTTGCTCGAAAGCCAGTCGAGTCCGACTCTAGGGTTGCGGTGCTCATCTCCGTTTCAAAGCCGAAGAGCCAGCGCTGTCCGAAGACGTTTCCGTGGTCATGTGGCCGGCATGACTAAACACCAAGGCGCACGGAACGCTGTTACCTTCCAACTGAAGTAGTACCTATTTATCTACTTGCAATTTCTTGCGTTCGAACTGCTAGGTTGGCAGGAGCTGGAACTAGAGACAGGAGCTCACTCCGTCATGTGGCACACTCGGGTCTCGAACTGTTGAACTACCAACCTTCCACAGCTTGCAGTTCAGCATCTTAACCACTTGAGCCACCACAGCTCCTATAACATCTGTACCCAGTGTTTTTCTTTTTGCCATCGTTACAGAAAATGTATGGCAAAACTGTCAGGTTTTCTAGGCAAGAACCATTGTTGTTGTGTATTGGGTTATTTGTATTACTTTGCAAGCGTGAGCTTAGATCACAAGCTCCAGAGACTGTCAGCATCCAAAACTATGCAACCGGATTGGTTGCTGCCGCGAACAGACCAATCCGGAAAGACTCTGACTTTTGGCGGGAACAGCTCTCATTGGACCCAAGTTCTCATTGTTGTTTGGACCTTATTGTTCCAGGGGGTGTGGTTTCCATGGTTCAAACTGTATATAGTTGGATTGTTCTGTGTGTTGTTTGTCTGTGTTCTGATCTAATAAAGAAATCACTTGTTTGAAACTAGGCTTGCCAAGTCCCCCCGGGGGGCAAGTAAAACCCCGCCCCAGTCCCGGGCACCACCGCCGGCCTTGCAGCTCCATTGCCCCATGAGGGGCCCGGCGGTGGACCTGCAAGGCCGGTGGGAGTGCAAGGAAGCCCCGCAAAGGCCCTCCCTGGCCCCAGGCAGGCAGGGGTGGGGAGAGGCAGGGAGGAAGCAACTTACCCTCCCTCTTCTCCTGCCTCCTCCTGGCTGAATGAGGGCCGGAAGCAGGGGGCGGGGCTTCGTCATGTGCCCCGCCCCCCGTACCTCACCCGGGGGAACTGCGATCCCCCGCGATCCCCCCTCCGAAATGACCTCTGCAAATACGGACTGTGGCCAACTCTGCTCAGCTTTCAAGACCAGGCTAGTCAGGGCTATTCCAGCTGTCCTCACCTGACCTGAATGGCCCAGGCTAGCCCAATTCCATCAGCTCTCAGAAACTAAGCAGGGTCAACCCTGGTTAGTACTTGGACGGGAGACCGCCAAGGAAGTCCAGGGTTGCTACGCAGAGGCAGGCAACGGCAAACCACATCTGTGCCTCTCTTGCTTTGGAAAACCCTGTGGGCTCACCATAAGTCAGCTGCGACCTTTAGGAGACTTTCCACCACCACCCTAGACTGCTCTAGTGCTCACCAATACAGCCAGGAGAGCTTTATGTGTGTGTCCTGTCGGGAAGGCATCGAGCCTGATTCCAGAGAAATGGTCCTAGAACCCTGCTTTGCAAGTTGTTTGCCTTTTTAAATGTCAACTGGAAGAAAAGTCGATGGGGCAGGGCCCAGATGGGGCAATCGATACTGACTGCCATGCAAACCATCAGCTGGTGCGAACTTCCAGGTACCATCTGTTTACTTTTCTGATAGTCGTAATTAGCCTCACCTATGACTAAACAGCGTTAATAATTTGCCTGAAGCCTTTAAGCCAAAGTAAGGCATCCGAGTTGCTGGAGGTGGAAGCCAATGGACTGTTCCCCAAAGGGAAGATACCAACGTCCTAACCATATACAGATCTTTACAGGGATACTGTCAAGAGTAGGTTAGACGATGTTGCCAAAATATACTTGAGGTGAAAGAGATGCCAGCCTCCACAATGGGACCTGGGGATCCCCTGGAATTACAGCTCATCTCCAAACTTCAGAGATCAGGTCCTCTGGAGAAAACGGATGCTTTGGAGGGGGGACTCTGTGACATTGTGCCCCACAGAGGTCCCTGTCCTCCCCAGGCTCCATCCTCAATTTGCATCCCTACTTAAGAACATAAGAAGAGCCCTGCTGGATCAGACCAATGGTCTAGCTAGTCCAGCATCCTGTCTCACACAGTGGCCAACCAGTTCCTCTGGAGGGCCGACAACAGGGCATAATCAGCACTTGGGTCAGTCACAGTTCTCTCAGAGCTCTCTCAGCCCCTCCTATCTCACAGGGTATCTGTTAAGAACATAAGAGACGCCAGTGTTGGATCAGGCCAAAGGCCCATCCAGTCCAACACTCTGTCACACAGTGGTCAAAAATACCAGGTGCCATCAGGAGGTCCAGCAGTGGGGCCCTCCCACTGTTGACCCCCCCAAGCACCAAGAAGACAGCGCATCACTTGCCCCAGAGTCCCTATCTATACCTTGTGGCTAATAGCCACTGATGGACCTCTGCTCCATATGCTCCATATATCTGTTGTGGGGAGAGGAAGAGAAAGAGATTGTAAGATGCTCTGAGTGAAGGGCGGGGTATAAATCCAACTCTTCTTCTACTACTAATCAGCCCTTGGACATCACCTTAAAGTGGGGTTTTACATGATGTCTGAATGCGGCTATTATCTAGTAACCACTAGTTGCTCGATTGTCCCAATTGGAATTCTTTTTTGACTGCCATCACTACCCCACCCCCCAACCTGCTCTGTGTCAGTTTGGGGTGCTAGACATACTAGTAATGGTAGTCAACTATTAAGGAAGTAGCAATTGGTCTGACCTGAATAGCCTCAGGCTTTCCCGATCTCATCAGATTTTGGAAGCTAAACAGGGTTGGCCCTGACTAGTGTTTGGATGGGAGTCTGCCAAGGAATACCAGGGTCATGACACAGAGGCAGGCACCTCTGAACGTCTCTTGCCTTGAAAACCCCATGAGGTCACCATAAGTCAGCTGTGTCTTGATGGCAGAAAAATAATAATGGCTAGCTAGTGTAAAATAATCTAACCAATTGTGGCTACTTATGCTCATTTTTGAGGCAGACATCCCAGCTTTGGACTTTTGTTTTGTTTTAGTGACAAGTACCTAGGAGCTGTGGTGGCTCAAGTGGTTAAGACGCTGAAACTGCAGGCTGTGGAAGGTCGGTAGTTCAGCTGTTCGAGACCCGGGTGCCGCATGACGGAGTGAGCTCCCGTCTCTAGTTCCAGCTCCTGCCAACCTAGCAGTTCGAAAGCAAGAAATTGCAAGTAGATAAATAGGTACCACTTCAGTGGGAAGGTAACAGCGTTCCGTGCACATGACCACGGAAACGTCTTCTGACAGCGCTGGCTCTTCGGCTTGGAAACGGAGATGAGCACCGCAACCCTAGAGTCAGATTCGACTGGCTTTCGAGCAAGGGAACCTTTACCTTTTTACCTAGGATCCTGTCTGGACTAGGCCTGTGGGGAAACACCTCTACCTCCTGTTCCCGGTATGAACAAGAAGTTCTGGTAGATCCCTTCCTCACCTCAGCTGCTCAGTCCCATTTCCTAGTTTCTTGGTTCAAACACAACAATGAGCAACCAAGGAACAGGAGATCTCCAAGAAAACAGGCACTACTGTTTGTGTTGGTGGAAAGGAGTGACAGAATTCTTTTGTTGAGGAGAAAACGACAGAAGTGGACAATGGGGCGAGTGAGCATGCTGGAATCCAAACAGGGAACTCCTGATGGCCAGATTGGGGGACCTTGGATGCCAGTCGGCAACCCATAACCTAGTACAGGGGTCCCCAATCTTTCTGAGCCTGTGGACACATTGGGAACTCTGACACAGGACAGTGGTCACAGCCACAAAATGGCTGCCGTAGGAGGTGGAGCAAGCCACAAAATGGCTGCTGTAGCTTACCTTCAGTCATGTGATCAAGATCCTTGTACTATGGTGGCGACTGCAGCCAAAGCAACATTTTTTAAAAGCTGCACAGCTAATCAAATTCCAATGACCACTCAGAAGCCTTGCTGGGCAAACCCCCCCCCCCTTGGGTCTGCCCAGTTTAAACACTTGGTGGGCACCAGGAAAGGTGTCAGTGGACGCCTGGGCACCACGTTGGGGACCCCCAGCCTAGTATAAGTGGACTTGTCATATGACTTAAAATAGCCAGAGACCAGTTGTGCATATGGTCCCGACTTAACCAAATACACAGAATTTATGAAAAAGGTTAGCGGCCACTGGGATGTTATAAGACGTCTTTAAAAGCAAGAAGGAGCAGGTTTATTCTTGCCTTTTCAGGAATTTTACAGAAACACTCGGCGCGCTGAATCTAAGAAGAGCTGTAAGAAGTCCAGATGCTGTGAAAGAGGATTAGATGACATTTAAGAGGACCTCGCCAAGTGGAAAAACAACACAGAAGAGCCCTGCACATGTTCAAGAAATGGTTGAAGTGTTAGCCAAGAAAACCTAACACCACAAAAGAGCCTCTGATGTGAAGTCCAAGAGGCAGATTTACTGTGCTCAGTAAATCACTAATCAGCACTAATTCTGATGACAGACTTAAGTTATTTGGGTTTGGACAGCACCCTTTTGGGCTGCAGGACACAGCTAGTCACAGGCTTTATGGAGAGCTCGTTTACAAAATACCAGTGAATTATACAGGTCAGCTGATGGAACGTTCCACTTCTTAGCTTGATCCGCTGGAATCAGATGGGTAGAAGCACCAAGCAGGCGGGCCAGTGCAGAGGGCCCCTGTGGCTTTCTAGCAGGAAAAAGGAATCCTTAAAACCCAGGTGTCCAGCAGATATCCATCTTGGTCTGCAGTAGAACTGGTTCTAGCAGGCAGCCATGTTCATCTGCAGTTGAACAGCTAGGCTGTGATCACACACACTAAATCAGAGGTGTCAAACTCATTTGCTGAGGGCTGGATCTGACATAAATGTCACTTTGTCGGGCTGGGCCACGTGTGCCATAAAACATAATGCCAGGTATTGGAGATACAAACTGTATGAAGGACAGCAGCTGGTAAGCTCCAAGTGGGTGTATCCTCACTGCAAGGCCCCATGGGCTGGGCGGGGGGTGCAGAGGAAAACCCACACAGGTGGACTAGAGAGGCAGCAGTGCAGTGCTGGGCAGATGGCCCCCAAAATGCTTGACTGTGGCAGAGGGTGTCCTGCTGTGCTGAAGCCACAATGGAGTGGCTCCCCCAGCTCTTCCTCCCTTGCATCAGTTGCTCGTGGGCCGCACAAGAACCCTAGACAGGCTGGATCTGGCCCCCGGGCCTTATGTTTTACACCCCTGCACTAAATGATCCACATTCAATGCACTTTCCAACTGGATTTTCCGTGTGAAGTGGCAAAACCCAGTTGGAAAGTGCATCGAAAGTGGGAGGGGAGCGGTGGCACAGAGGATTTATCCTCTGGTTAACATCTGAACTGAACAGAGTTGCTGTCAGTTCTAGCCCGCGCTGGTGTGAGCTACCAGCCTTGTCCCCAGCTCGCCGTCCACCCAGCGGTTCGAAAGCTTCAGCGAGTAGATAAAATGGGTACCACTCCTTAGAGGGTGGGCACACTAAACCCCCGTAGGGGAGGTGTTAGCTGGCGAATGGAATGTCCAGCTTGTAAGCTCAGAAGCCTGGAAAAAAGACCTCTTTGGCATTAAGAAGCCTGTGATGGGCCAATCCGGCCAGGCGGTGGCAGTGTGGCGCTACAACTCAAAAAGCAGCCCAGGAAGAAAAAACGTCATCAAGCCAAGCCGAAGAGAATGCTGTCTGGAACACGTCTGAAGCTTTCAGCTGAACAAAATCCCCGTCGGCTACAAATGTGTGAGATTTAAAGAATTATATGTTGTCCTCCCTTACCCCTATGAAATTGTTAGTATGAAATTGTATGAAACCTGTGTAACTGTAAATCGCTCAGAGCCAGCAGCTCTGCCGGATTGAGCGATCAATAAATCGAAAGGTATTGGTATTATTATTATTTAGTGTGTGTGATCGCAGCCACTGATGTGAGTCTAAGAGCACCTCAGAGACCAACAAGATTTTGGGGGGTATGAGCTGATGGAGCTTTGGCTCTCAAAAGGGACTGGACTTGAATCTAGCTTAAAATCCAGGTTCTCAGACTTTAGCAACCCGAGAGCCCCATTTTGACATACTTTGCAAACTAATTCAAGAAAAATATGTTTGTGCACGGCCTACGAGGTTAGTTCTCAAAAGGACCCTCTTCCCCTTCCCTGAGTAGCTTAAGACTAATATGTCATGGGGGGGGGGAGCATGGTATAGCCCAGTCTCAACAGATCTTGTCCATGTGTCAGTTTTTGTGTTTAATAGTTCAGGTTAAAGTTTAACTAATCTGCATTTTTATGGCTCAGCATTTGAAACAGGATTTCTACTATAAGGGTGTCTCATAAAATGTACTTACCTTGTTGTAGGAATCTGTATTATTGAAGTCGATTTTCAATTAGATTTATATTTGTATGCAGTTATATGGAAAATTTATAAAATAAAATTTTTTTTTTAAAAAACAAAAAACAGATCTTGGAAGCTCATCAGGGTCAGTACTTGGAAGGGAGACCACCAAGGCAGGCTCTGCAGAGGAAGGCAAGGGCAAACCACCTCTGCTTCTCACCTTGAAAGCTTACTGAAATCACCATAAGTCTGCTGTGAATTGACAGCGCTTTATACACACGTTATGGGGACTGTGGTGCTGAGGGTGAAATCCAGCAAAGTCTCCCTATTGCACTAACACAGGGGTAACCAAACTGTGTCTCTTTTCTTTCCACCTTTCTATTTCTCCCCTCCTTCCCCATCTAAAGTTAAATGTGTTCTCCAAGCCCAACCACATTGCCTCACCGGCCAGCTGGCTTGGCTCAGAGAAGGCATTTGTCTCTTTAAATCCCTTCTCCAATCCAAGGTGGCATGGGAGTGAGGGCGGGGGGTTTGGAGAACACATTTAAAGTGAAAGACTTTTCCAAGCACCCACCCTGCGGCCCCGCCCACTAGCTTGGAGAAGACATTTGTCTCTTTAAATCCTTCGCCAAGCTGACTGGTGAGGGGACAGGGTTTTTTTTTTTGGAGAACACATTTGAAGTTAAAGTTACTTTCTTTCCACCTCTCCCTTCCTCCCCATTTGCTTTCTTTCTACCTCTCCCCCATTTGCTTTCTTTCCACCTTACTTTCTCACTTCCTGCCTTCCTTTCTCTTCCTTCTTTCCTCCCCCTCCCTCATCTATTTGCTTTTTCTTTCTCTCCCTTCCGCTCCCATCTATTTGCTTTTCTTTGTTTCTCTTCCTCTCCACCTCTTTTCACCTTTCTTTCTTCCATCCTTCCTCTGCATCTATTTGCTTTCTTTCTGTCTCTTCCCACTCCCCCATCTATCTGCTTTTATTTCTCTTCCCCCTTCATCTCCATCTATTTGCTTTCTTTCCACCTTTCTTTTTATCCTTTCCTCCCCCTCCCCCATCCATTTGCTTTCTGTTTCTTTCTTTCCACTTTTCATTCTTTCCACCCCCCTCTCTCTTAGACAAATATAATTAGCAAACAAATAAATATCATTGGGCAAATAAATATCATTATCAATGTCTGTTTTCACCCTTTTTTTTTGGAAGTCTCATTTAATGTTAATAAAAAAAAAATTGTATATTTTCCAATAAAAATGTGTGTGTGACATTTGTTTATGTTTTGCGGCTCTCAAACACCTGACGTTTATTCTATGTGGCTCTTATGTTAAACAAGTTTGGCCACCCCTGCACTAACAGGCGGCTTTGTTCTGCTAACTTCCCATCACCAGTGGAAGCAAGAAGATGGAGCCATTTTGGGAGATGCCTCCTCCTGCCATTGGACCTCCCAAATTGTGGAATTTTGTCCATGATCCCCCTTGAATCCCATCATTAGCTTTTGGGGCTCTTAGGGGGATGCTGGGGGAAGGTGGGGAAAGATCTGCTTCTATAAGTGCCTTGTAGGATCCAACTCACTGCTTTTCAGCAGAGCCGGTTAACACGAGCAATGAAAAAAAAAAAATCAAATGATACATAGGAGTGTGTGATCTTACCCAACAGTATCTCAAGTTGTGGAACAAGAAAGCCATTCTCCACTAGAGGTCCTGACCAGCAACACAGTTTTATTTGTAAACATTTATGTTACATGTGCCAATAATTTAATCAAATATCAGATTTTGTACATTTCACTGCATACTATCAACAATGTCAGAGTAGAGAACAAAACAACTGGGTTGCCTTTGAGCTGTTGGGACTCCCACACTTCAAAACTTTCAAAATAGTTAAAGCAATCGTAGAAAACGTCTTGGGGGAAAGAAAAAGAAGAGAGAGAGAGATCTACTATGGAGGGAATTTAAACTCCCAGAAGGGTGGAAGAGGAAGGAGAGACATATAAGAAAGGGAAATTCCAGCAAAAGTGTCTTGAAGAATTCCCAGATCCTTTCACGGCGAGTCCGTTTAAAAATACTTTTGAAAGATGTCTCATTTACTCTCAAATTTGAGCGGCAAAATACATTTTCATTAGGAAACAGACAGACAACTTGTGAAATGTTAAGGCCTAAAACAAACATCACAAACTTGATTTTTTTTGACAAAAGCAGCTGAAAGAAAATACAATGAAGCTCAACAGATTATAATGTTTTTGGTTGAATATAACTTGTGTCTGTTCACAGTATACTTAATTATCACACCTTAAAATATAGCAAAGGTGGCAAAAAGGATCAGTGTGGGGGGGGCATTAAGCTATTTTCTTGTTTTTCACCATGGATGGGATATTTGCAGAGTGGGGGTAGCAATGTGTCTTGGAATGGTCACCCCCCCAACTCACCTATGGAAAACAGCCATTATTGATTCCCCATATCCAATTCACAGTTCACCTTCCAGGACTCCTAAGTTACTGATGAAATCAGCATCTAAGATAAGTCTTTTGAGCTCTGCCATTTTTGGGATTATACCATCTATACAACATGAACAACCACATTCAAGATGGCAGCAGTGCTCACGCCATTAGCTTTACTGAGACTTCAAGATCCACTTCCAGCAATAAGAATTTAAAAAATAAACCGTATTCATTTTTCCAATTTTCAACTATGACAACAAATTCTTTGTTCCTACCGTATAAAAAAAGAGGAATTTGTTATGACTGTATTCTACTGCGAATGTCACTTTGACGCTCTCTAGGTTCTTGGTCCCAAAACATTCCCTACCACAAAAGCCAGCTAATGTGCAGTTTAAAAAAAACCCCAAACCTATTCCAAAGATACCCCACAAAAAACTGCCCCCCCAAATCCAATTCAAACATTTTAGACCACATTGATTTGACACCAAATATTCTAAACTCTCTGTACAGCTGTGATTTGACATGTTACAGCTGCACAGAAGACCCTGAAATGAGAAAAACACAGCTCAGAATTTTTAGAAACAATACCAAGCTAGCCGCTAAATGAACACTGTGCGCATGTCCCCTGCCATTCGAGGGAGGGACCCTTGCTAAAGCTAGAGCGAGCTATCTTCAGTTAACTGCATCAACATTTTGTCATGATGAACAGCTAACGGGGGGACGGGACACCCCCCCCCCACATTATGGGCACAAGCCCCAACCAAAACTAACTGGGAGCCATACAGGAACACTACAGGAAACTTTCCAAAGGACTGTATCCTAAACTACCCAATGGAATACCCAGCCTGCTTATCAGTTCTGCGGGGTTTAATCCGGTCTCCATCTATTCCTGCATAAAAGATCCAAGGCAACTCTGACCTGTGTTCGTTTTGTCCCATAAAAACATCAGTTGCCGGTGGGACGAGTCCTCCAACCACTGCATCCATGCTGTCTCCAGAGTACACCACAGAAGTTGCAACGTGCCAGCACTTCTGGAGATTGCATCCAATGGTGGTTTGGGGTTTTCTTCCTGCATTATATCAGCCATTCTGTGTTTGACAGCCTACAGCTCACTTCACACAACCACTTTCCCCACAAGCCGCATGACATGTGCTTGGAAATCCATGTCGACTTGAAACAGTGTGCATCATTCAACTCCACAGCCATTGGTGGCGGCATGTCAGCAGCTGAATTCTGCATGTGAAGTTGGATTCACACAACTGACTGGGTCACGGGCCAGGAATCATCATGTGCAAAAAAAATAAAATAAAAAATTATGGCTACCTTTGTGTTGAAGTGGCTGTGTCAGCAGGCTTTCGGTTAACTGTGGGCTTTGCTGCCGTGGGAACGAAGGCCCTCGGGTTTTCAGGTGTATTGCAAATGTATTAAACACTCGAATGGGAGAGACACAGTCTATGAAGGCTTCTATGTACAGACAGCACCACATTTATCCCTGCTGTGATTCTACGTATCAGCAAGGTTCCAACAAGGATGAAAAAAAAAAGTTGAATCTAAAAGTTTTCCTCACGAGGCATTGGTAGGTGCTTTTATAAGTTTCAGATTAAAACCATTAAAAAAAAAAGAGCATCAACACATTGATGTCAATATCGCCCAATCTCCCATCTCACTGGTTAAACAGATCATTTTTAAACATGTCAGTGATGGCTCAACAGTATATCCTCCCAGTACTATATAGGACCCCATTCCTCAAGTCAGATATTTTGGTTATACTATCTGAATAACGCTTGTGCCTTTCTAAATGCCCAAAACTGCTTAAACTGTTGTGTGTTAATACGATTTAAAAAAATTAGCTTTATTTGTTTTGTTTTAATAAGTTGACATCACTAACATATAAAAGTACCATTAATTTGCTGTGACGGTGTAGAAATCCAGTGGACAGAAAGCCTACGAAGGGTGCCCTCGGTTACAAAAGAAAGACAAGATTGTCTCGAGATAGAAAGAGAAAACGGGCCGACAACTGAAAAGCTTCCGGCGGCAGCAAGACATGCAGGAATGAACAGAAAGGCAAATCTGGATGCGTCTCCCCAAGTTAAGTGCGCACTACACTTTAATAACACTATCGTTTGCAGAAGTCATGCCACGGTAGCAGGACACTCCTTAGGAAGTTGGCACGGTTCAGCTGAACGCAGTTGGTTACCGGGAAGTAAGGCGGCGAGATGTGAACACCACACGGTGGACCCCCTTCATGCTACTTCAGGTGTTCTTGGGGCACGGTTGCAATAAGGACAGAGGAAGGAGACCGTCCATTCCATTCTGACAACACACCGTCCTTGAACATTAGATTCTTAGCGGGAAGTGGGACGCCTGTGTCGGTGCCGCCGGGAGGAGAAAGTAAACTCGAAGAGGAAGAAACACTGGCCTCGGAGAGGAGCTCCATTGTCGAAATGCTTTCCTGAGGAGGAAGAAGAAAATAGGGGGGGGGATGACGACATGTTGCTATAGGACAGCGGTTCTCAACCTTCCTAATGCCGCGATCCTTTAACACAGTTCCTCATGTTGTGGTGGCCCCCAACCATAAAATTATTTTCGTTGCTATCATAAGACCATCGAAAATTTGTGTTTTACGATGGTTTTAGGCGACCCCTGTGGAGGGTCATTCGAACCCCAAAGGGGTCACGACCCACAGGTTGAGAACCGCTGCTATAGGATAAGCTGCTATGTATTTTTTTTTAGGCTGAGAAGTGTGGTCCTTCCCAGCTAGTACAGATCTCTCAGTGAGAGTTTTGTACAGCACAAAAGGCACTGGAAATTCCCTTGTTCTTCTGGCCATTGTGTTAATTTTTTTTTGGGGGGGGAGCACAAAGAGGTTGGGGAGGAGATGCATATAGAGATGCAATTAGTCTCTCTAAAAGCTCCTCATATTGACGTGGCCTCTCCCCAGTGGCCAAGAATCCAGCACGGAGTTTGCTGCTCCTCTCCACCCACCCGGCCTGCTGCCTTAATTCTCCTGAACCAAAGTTTCTGGGCACCAGAGGTGGGAACTCAGAACTACGTCATAAGCAAACAGCCATGTTTTATCTGAAGGTTGAATGGGACTCAGGCTGCCCTGTTTCGGCCCGTTCTGCAGTGCTGAAGGTTTCCCTCCCTCTCTGTGAAGTCTTCTGCAGGCAATCCAGTTTTATGTAAAACCCTGGACTGCAATTCTGAAGTTGGTTCCTGGCTGTGCGATCTAGTAAGCTTTTCTCACTGAAGGCCTTCTAGGTCTTTTGCAGACTGCCGTGTGATTTGCCTGCATGTGTGCTTCTGTCCTCCAAACCCAGTCCACCGCTTCACTAGCTCACTGTCTTAGAAGTGTCTTCTTTCCTTATAAGCAGCAAAGACTGTTTGACTGCTTCCAGCAAACCCCCTCCCCCCAGAATTAGTTTCAACCTGCAAAGTGTCAGCTGAAAGCTTGTGGTGTAATAACTATATAGTAATGCAGTTTAAGAATGAAGTGGCCCATAGACCCTGGGATTCAAAAGGAACGCCTTCTGCTGCTGTTGCTGCTGAAGTCACTTCTGTGATAGAGTAGCCATGTCTATAGCAACCAGCAAGGCTGTGATACCTGGCAGGAGCACACTGGCCCTCTGATGCCACAGACAGTCCTTCTAAGCTTAGGACTCAACAGCTGCCTCTTGACTTTGACATGTGCCTACTGTGACATCACAGCAGACAAGCCAAAGGCATCAAGACAGACTGGTCAAACAGGCTAGAGAGGGGCCAAAAGAAGATCAAGCAAAACTGAAGGGGGATATGGGTGTATATTTGCACAACACTGCTGGAAGAGATGTGTGGTAACCAATGTTCCCTCTAAGCTGCAGAGTCTTGTGAGCAAAAATTCTACTTTGTGAGCTACTGGCATTAAAGTTGTGAGCCAGCGATTGGGCTGCTACATAAATTAGCTTGCTCTGGAGCCCTCCGTCCTGAGCCAAGACAAAAATGTGTGAGCCGGAGGCTAAAAAACTGCGAACTAGCTCACACTAACTCAGCTTAGAGGGAACACTGGTGGTAACATTCCTGGGGCATGGTACTAGTTGGACCCTAAGACAGGGACTCAAATTAGCAAAGAGAAAATGGGCAGTGAATGAGGAAAGTCACGAAAGCCATAACATTTACTGCCCGAATGCATTTATATTTTTAGAAAAGAGGTGGTTGCATGTAAATGTTAAAACAAACAGTGCATATATGAGTCTTACATATTTTACCTGGAATGAATGAACAAAGCTAAGGATCTGTAGAGAAAGTTTCCTACTGGAATGTAACAATTTTTGCAGGCTGTCAAAAGAAAGCAAACCAAAAATATATATTAAAATGTCACCTAGATGTATGCAGAACACACAGCCTTCCTCCCCCCTCCCCCCTCCCCCCCGTGCCGAGGGAGCCTCAGAGGGAAGCTGCAGTCAAATAAAACCTCACCTGTCCTTGCTACACAGTCCGTGACTGGCAATTTTCCGGCAGACCTTCCGGTTTAATTCGGAGCCGAAGAGCGGGATGCCGAAGCACAGCTCCAAGGGAACCCATTCCAGTTCTGTGGTGGGGACTGCAGGACGGGCAAAGAAAACACAGGGCCAGACTGACAAAATGAGCTTCCACTTAACCCAGATGTGCACCATTCTCTCATACGTTTATGGTATTCAAAGCGCAATCCTGTGCAGTCACTTCCAGTCTCAGCTCACTGGTCTCAAATGGAAATTTCAAATGCCATTGAAAAATCAATCATCTTAAGACTGGAGTAACTCTACAGAGGACTGCGCTGCCAGTCTACTACCAGAGGCAGAGACCCTCCCCTTTCTTTGTAAAAGTTCGACGTTATAGAAGATTTTTCGTTCTCTGGCTTGAGCCGTCTGGCACATTTGCTCAGCGGACACTTTACGAGTCCCGTTAGGGGATACTCTCTAGAAGCTCTTTTCTGAACCATGAAGAGGAGCTGCAGGGAGAGGGGAGACTTTGGATCTGGGTTGCAAGGTAGGGGAGGGAAGTTTACGCCCTTGTTAACCCTTTTTTTTTGCAATTTCAAACTCAATCGCTTTCTCTTTTTGCAATTTCAAACTCAACCGCTTTCTCTTTTTGCAATTTCAATCCCTTCCCCACCGGTCACCGTTTCCCCTGCAAGAGAAAACATCCAGGTGACCCTGCGCTTCCTCCCACAGAATACACACAGCTGGAGGAAACGGTGAAACGGTGTGGGAGAACGGGTTAGACCCCTCCCCCCTCACCTCCGCACAGCCTTAAACCAAATTCGAGTCCCTCACGGCTGCTACTTGCGCTTGTTAAAAAGTACAGGGGTGTGTGTGTGTGCCTGATTTGAACAGGTCACTTTGCACTTAGAACTACGATGGTAGAAAAGGCCAGTTAGAAGCAAGCCAGGTGGCAGGCAATGTTCCCTCTAAGCTGTGGAGTCTTGTGAGCAAAAATTCTACTTTGTGAGCTACTGGTATTAAAGCTGTGAGCGGGCAATTTGGCTGCTGCATAAATTACCTTACTCTGGAGCCCTCCTTCCTGAGCTAAGACAAAAAATGTGTGAGCCAGAGGTTAAAAAATTGTGAGCTAGCTCACACCAACTCAGCTTAGAGGGAACACTGGTGGCAGGGCTTGATCACGATCTCTGCTTGCTGGTCCTGACTTTGCATAAGACAGTTCATGAGGTCCATTTTTCTGTGTTCCCCTATGCGGGACAGCCTCGCCTACCTCACCGGGAAGCCATCTCTAAGCATTTATTCACTTAATTCATTTATACCCCACTTTTCTCCCCCAACAGGGACACAAAGTGGTTTACAATACTCTCCCCCTCCACTTTTATCCTCACAACCACCCCATGAGGCAGGCCACGCTGAGAGCGTGTGCCTTGCCTTAGGCCACCCAGCAAGCTCCCATGACAAAGTGGGAATCCAAACCTGGGTCTCCCAGATCCTAGTCCCATGCTCCAGCCCCTGCACCACACTGGCTCACCTCAAGCGGTTTATTTAGTCAGAGGTTCTGTTCATCACTGACTGGCATGGGGGGGGGGGGTCTTACAGGAAGTGACTGCTTGCTGCTGACACAACATCAATGCCAAGCAGTAGCATTCCTCCAGAAATGTAGACTTTGGCATCCTTTCTTCCATGCAGGAAAAAAACCACAAATTACCTTCAGGACTCTGCTTGGCTGCAGAATCCACGGGTGGCTCTTCAATGACCATCTCAAATGACTCTGTGCTCCCATTCACATCTGTGCCTAGTGCCAGCTCTGCCTCACCTAAGAGAAAAAGAGACAGGCTATAATCTTGAACCAGGCGAGCTACGATCGAGCAGACCAGACTGCATTCTCTGCCACATCTGCACGTGCATAGAATGAGGAACTTGCTTCTATGGGGCTCCGGAATGTGTGGCTTCTTAGCTGTGTCTCCTCCAGGGGGGCCACGACCTTGTTGAACAGGCTGGTGTTTTTCGGGCACCACCACAAAATAGCTGCCTTGGGGATGCAGGAAATCATAAAGCATCTGTCACCGTGTTGGGAGTGGTTAAATGGTGAAAGGTTCCATGAAACATCAGGCGGCCCCAAACTAAGCGTCCTGGGGAAGAGCCTTCCAAATGGAAACTCCCCGTGGACACGAAGATGAGGCTTCCTGGGATACTCTGAAGCACGTCCTGCCACAGAGGCGGTGGAGGAAAGCTGAGACCAGCTCTTTGCTTTGGGGGAAGAGATGCCATTTGGCTTCTAAGAAAGAGAAGGATTTCTCCATGAGGATTCACAATCCCAGAGACATCAGAAAATCTGTGTCTATGGCCAAGCTGAGGACATACAGCGCCTGTCCAGGATGAACTCAACACCTTGCACATCAGTAAGCTGGCAGGCAATGACCCCAAAGATCCCTGTTTTTGCTGTTCCATTTGGGACGCTTTGGATTTTACCCCCAAGGCTCGAGAAGCAAGCACGTGCCAGGTTGATGCACTGACATGTGCCACGCTGGGGAATCCTGTCCCGGCAGATGTTCAGCACGGTGTGCTTTCATTCTGCGACCCTGCTTTAGAAGGACAAGTGCCAATTCAAATGCTACTGAGGCCACCAAATTCGGCAGCCATGACTGACTGCTGACCAACCTTTTCCATCAGAGGCGTCGCTCAGCTTCCTGTGTACTTGATGAGTGGAAGAGTTCAGCATGGTGACGTAGCCACAAAAGTGCTGCAGATCCATCTTTTCCCTTAAGGTCCTCAGCGCTCTATGGACACCCATGTTGACATGGGAAAACTCTAGAAACGCAAAATAATTTGTGAGCGTGTGCACTCTTCTTTCCACGAGCATAGCACCTCAGGTCGTGTCACCAGAATGAACCACCTGATTCCCCCTTTCCATCAGAGGTCAAGAGATGGGGTGGCAGAGGAAACCTTGGTTTTTATCCCCTTGGAAAGAAACACAGAAGAGGGTGGGGAAGGACAGTTTCAAGAAGGCACATCGTAAGTGAGCAACTTCTTATGAAGAGAGGCGACCCTTGCCATGGGCTTCAGCAGAACTGATGGGCCACCCCGTCTGGTCCATTTCCCCCATCTCTCTAACTCAGGGGTCCCCAGCCTTTTCGGTATGGTGACCCACAAGTCCAAAGTTATTCGGTATAGTGACCCATCCAAGGCTGGCTCAAGGTAAGTTGGTGCCCTAGGCAAAGTATGACACGGGCGCCCATCTAGCTAAGCATTCCGCTTTTCTGCAGTGGCTAATCAGTTGTTTTGAGAAACAAAAAAAAATCAAACAAGGGGCACAGCTGCCCCCACTATAAACTCAAAGCAAGTGGCAGTCCGACATTCTGACTCCTCAGCGTTCCCAGAGTATGAGCAGTGCTCATCGGGCCATTTGGAGGGGGAGTTGCTCTTTTTCTTTTGGTTCAGAGTTTGTTTTCCTGTATTGCTGGACAATCTCCCAAACTGTGTAGATGCGTGCAGGTTCTGCTGCATCTCTTTTTGGCACGAGCCACCTCTCTTGCTACGCAATAGTGGGATTCCGGACTTTCAGCCCTGGTTCAAATTAAGCCTTGCTCCCAAGCAGTGTTCCCTCTAAGCTGAGTTAGTGTGAGCTAGCTCACAGTTTTTAAACCTCCGGCTCACACATTTGTGTCTTCGCTCGGGAAGGATGGCTCCACAGCAAACTGATTTATGCAGTAGCTGAATCGCTCACTCACAACTTTAACGTCGATAGCTCACAAAGTAGAGCTTTTGCTCACAAGACTCCACAGCTTAGAGGGAACATTGCCCCCAAGCCTCTCTCCCTAAAGTCACCCCCTCCTAGAGAGAGATGTTATCACCATAACGATTGCAATAAATTATACATCAGATATAGAAGCAGAATAGCTACTCAGCTGTTTCACTGATGGGCGTTCGGCATTTACCCTGTTCTAAATGACACCCCCCACCCCAATGTTCTGTTTGAGCACATGACCAATGCGCATGCAGGGGGAGGTGATGGAAAAGAGCATGCCGGCACCACTGCTGCTCACAATCAAGTGAACGGGTGCCGCTCCCCACCCATACACACTCTCCCAATGTGCTTCAAGGGTTTACTGATGACACAAGTTGGGACTTGAACAAAGCAGTCTAAGCTAAATCGTAGCCGGTCGTCCTTCCGCCCTCCACATCAGTTACCTCCTTGTTGTTCTGCTTCATCAAATGGGAATGGCATGTGAACCGTCTCCCCGATCCCGTGCATCCCGTGCCCCTAAACACAAGGCAAGAGCGAAGGTCAGCAATCCAGGCTGTCAGAAGCCACAACGCTTTTCTTCATTTCCCAGTGTTTCTAGTCCTTGCCATGGCACGGAACTATGTGAACGTGAGACCGCCAAAGCTTAATATTTTACTAATTTGTTGGGTTTTTTTGCAAACTTTTTATTTTTGGATATAACCACATATTCAACATTAAACCTTTGCACTTCTTTTAACATATATCAATTTCTCTTTTCTCCTCCCCCCACCTTCTTGTGGCTTCCCGCAATGCTCCCCCCCCTTCTCCCTTTTACTATTCCCCCCTCAAATTACATTTTCATTATCAGATCTCCAGGTAACATTATGTTCTATTATTCAGTCCCTTTCTTTTACCAATTCTGCTCTTAATAATTATCAAAGCAAAGTAAATTATTTTTAACATCCCAATTAGTTTCCATATATTCTTTAAAGTCTGTCCATTCTACAAAAAATTCTTCGTCTTCTTTATTATTAAGTTTCTTTGTCAGCTTGTCCATTTCAGCCATAAAAAGCATTTTCTGTATCCATTCCCATTTTACTAATTTGGGAAGCCTCTTTTAAGATCTCAGAGGGCTTGTCTCAGAAATCCATTTTAAGGCTAAGCAGGAAAACACTACCGGAGTGACCAAGAGCCTGGAAGGATTCTCCAGCTGCTATGATTCCCCCCCTCCCCCCCCGAGGAGAATTAATCTCTGAAGAAGGGAAATTTCAGTTGCTGTTCTGAAAGACAGTCTGCTGTTGAAAGAAGAGCAGAAAGAGCTCAATCAGTGGGTGTCAAAATTCCTCTAGTAGGAAATCCCAAACCCTGACATTTCAAGCTGGGTATATTCTGAACATTTTTAAAACTTCATTTATACCCTGCCTTTCCCCCCAATGGGGACCCAAAGCAGCTTACACAATTCTTCTCTATTTTATCCTATCTTTATCCTCACAACATCCTTGCAAGGTAGGTTAGGCTGAGGACGCGTGACTGGCCCAAGGTCACCCAGCATGCATAAATGACAGACTTGGACCTAGGTCTCCCATATCCTATGAGAAGAAAACGAAAGGCTGCACCAATGGGAGCAAAGAGGCGACGAAAAAACAATGGTGCAGTGGGTGGGGCTAGGAGAGGCTTCTGCCCAGCAGGGGTTCTTATTGGCCATGGGAGATCTAATTGACTGTGCAGATTCAGAGACACACGGCTTCGGCAGCAGCTGCCACCACAACACAAGGAACATCGTTGTGTGACTGAAGATAAGCTGTGCAGATGCAAGAAAACATTTTTTAAACAATACACTCATTCTAGAAGGGCATCCTGTTAAAGAGAGCTTCTGCCTGAAATGTTGAAGGACTGCCATTAGAGTTATGCATGATCTCACTCTCTAATCGATATAGATTACAAGCAAAATGGGGAACACGTGGTATGGAAAGATTACAAGTAACTTTTTGGCTGCTTTTACAAACTTTGGAATAGGTGTTAGCCATTCATTGTTCCTTCCTTGTGAGACTTTATATCTTTGTATAATTGGAAACCTATACCTAGCAGTTCGAAAGCAAGAAATTGCAAGTAGATAAATAGGTACCACTTCGGTGGGAAGGTAACAGCGTTCCGTGCGCCTTGGTGTTTAGTCATGCCGGCCACATGACCATGGAAACGTCTTCCGACAGCGTTGGCTCTTCAGCTTTGTAACGGAGATGAGCACCGCAACCCTAGAGTCGGATTCGACTGGCTTTCGAGCAAGGGAACCTTTACCTTTACCTTGAGTAACTGTTTGTAACATTTATATTGTTTGAATTCCATACGCCATATGATAGTAAATTCTAATAATTAATATGCAGTAAACATTTTGTGCATGGTGTCACTTTGTGACTTGTAATTTGGACCTCACTCTCCTGACATTTTGTGGATGGCTCTGCCTCTTAAAAACACCTTATTACAAGCAATGCCAGGGAGAACCTGTTGACCGTATTTCTTCTTTCTTCCCTTCTGTTCAGCAGAAACAACAATCAGCACACGAAAGGGCACTCAAGCCCTCTGGCGCGTGAGCATGTCAGTACCTGAATCAGAACAGCGGAATGGGTCAAAGCGTCGTTCAGCATGGTGAGCACGTTTGAAGTTGGGACCACTCCTGGGTCGTGCCCCCAAGATGTTATTAGTAAGCGATCATAACCCTAGAAGGGAGGAGAGAAGACACAAGAGCTTGGTTCACTTCTGCCACCGGAAAGGCTCTTCCCCATCTGCAAACAGTGCTATGAAGATATACATACATTTAAATCCTTCTTCTTTTCTGTTACTGTTTATTCGACCCAGTGGTCTCGAACAGCTGCTGAGAGTTTATATTTAAGCAGCTAACAGAAACCTACCCACATAATGGGATCTCCCCAACAAAATATCATACCATTTATTCAGTTGTTTTAGAACATTTCTGTATTTCTACAATGGCAGCCAAAAATCTAGCGACCCTGGATGTAACCCATCCATCTACACGGCTCAGTAGCCTAGAAGTCTTAACAGCTGCAGAAGCAGAATCCTTACTAAGTAGGGGGGGAAATCAGCTCCAGTCTAAGTTTTAAAAATTCAGGGCAGCTTAAAACGACGTGGTCAATAGATTCAATGTGATTTAAGGTCATAATTGCATGTTCTCTCTGAATATGGAATACCCGTGTGTCTAACTATCAAGACTGCAGATGGCAGACTGTTAAGACACCCCAACATAAAGGTACATCTATATTTAGGATATGTTAGATCACAAAAATACACTGGGATGCTAACTGGTAGGGGAATGCCAACCATGAAAGTTGAGCAAACTCTTCTTGACCTTATTGCTGTACTTTTATAATCCAGATGTTTCAAATGAATTTCAATCAGATGTCTTAGTTCACTGATATTTACTCTCCCCATCAATTCTAATGAAATCCCTAGGCATATTAGCTTACCGTTCACCAATTTATTCCAGTTGCTCTTATGACTGTCTAATTTAATAAGACCGAGAAAACTTAGCTCCAGATCTAACTGCAGGATCCTTATCGTTAAATTAAATGCCCCTCCCCCATGCCCCAGCTCTGTAAGAGATTCCACCTACTCCAGCTCTTAGAGCAATGCTGGCCACACATTTGGAGGCCCCCAATATACCATGAAGAAAGTTAATTAGTGGTTGATCGAACTCTCTCTCTCTTTCTTTTCAGCTGGGCCAGCATAATTATAAGGGCTTTATTTTTCCACTTTCTCAAACACGCCCTATTTGTAATGATTTATCTTGCATTTCTTCAATCAATTCGAACAGGTTATAATACACCTATGGCCACTCCATCCCTCAAGGTCAGTATCGTGTACTCAGACTGGCCGCGGCTCTCCCGGCAGAGGTCTTTCACATCACCGGCCACCTGAGGATTGAACCTGGCACCTTCTGCATGCCAAGCAGATGCTCCGTCTCTGAGCCACAGCCCCTCCCCAAGAGCAAGCATATGCACTCTCCTCTGGGAGGCCTGGAACATTGACTGTAGTTAAGCATCAGCTACGGGGGAAATTAAAGCACCAGGAAGACGACGGAGATGGGGAATTTTACCTGTTCAAGCTCTTACAGTATGTCTTGTGGGGAAGATTTCTTTCTCCCCCACAGTTCCTTACTGGTGCCATCTTCTAGCTCTAGAATTGCCTATTATGACTCTATGTGATTTCCTACTATTCTATCTGAACCTGTTAAAGAAGGAAAACCAAGTACATTTTTTTAAAAAGCTATTATCCATGTAGTGTTTGAATTCTCATTCTGAGTGCTTTGTATTTTCTTGTATTGCTCACAGTAAAGCTTATTAAAGGATATTAATGACGTCGCTATGGAAGCATCAATCTGAACTTAAGACAAAGATGGCCCAAGGCTTCTATCCTGGGTTGGATCTCATATATTTCAACACCAACTAAGCATTCTGGGAAAATTGGCAAAATCGGCAACTTCCGCCCACGTGAACAAAGGCTGCAGGACTAACACGTTTGGATCAGTATCATTACAGAAGACGGCAGTTCCCATCAAATATGAACGACTTGCCTGAAAAATATCTGGAAGTTTCCGAAGTCTTGTTCCTTTAGACAGCAAAAGGGATGGGGGTCCTTGTCCAGTGATGTGATAAATATAGAGCTTGAACCATACTGAGCTAACTTCTGGAATGGATGGTCCAATATGCTGTGGAAAGATTAATAACAACAACAACAACAGAGGAGTGAAAGATGCAATGGTTAATCTAGTCTGGTGGAAACACAGCCTCTCTTAACATCAGCAAAGCAACCATGTCAGTCTTGGAGACACATATTTCCCATGGTTGGCTGATCTCCGATTGTAATAAATGTTGTTGATGATGATATTTACTATGCAATAGTACATGAGAAACTTCTGCCATGCCAGAGGACTAGACAGCTAATCTGCCTACTTGTACAAAGTTACCTGGGAAGCATAGCAGCAAGTTAACATTCTGGGAATTGTCACAAAGTGCATCTTCCAACTAGCTAGGTTTACCCAGAACCCCTCTCTTGGCATTCTGCAAACTCTGCAAAACTTTTTTTAGTACTGGTACCTCCTCTTTCAGCCATTATCCAACCTTCTGGTGGCTAATAGAGCAGGGACTCAAAAATGCTCTAATGACAGGAACAGAGCTTAAAGGGGTGTGGGTGCAAAATGCGGTTTGTGGTACCTTGATTTCTGACCATTTACATTTAGAAGGTGAACACCAACACTTTGATCACAGCCCAGAAGCTAAACAGAAACTAAAGAAGTTTTCATGGGAAATATGACCCTGGTTTTTCTAGGGTTCCTATTCCCCTGACAGGGTGTGTGTGTGTGCCCACTTTTGGGCCCCCCAATCTGGCTGGCATGGAGCAACCCCGCCCCCAAAGTGCTGCATTTGCACCAACGTGTCTGGTACAATGATGTCACCTGGAGGTGATGTCATTGTGCAGGGCACATTGCCGGGGGGGGGACGGGGGGACGGTTGATCATTTCAGGAAAAACTATAGAGTTTTTCCTTAAATGATAAGGTGTCTCCTGCAATGTGCCATGTGTGATGACATCACTTCCAGGTGATGTCATTGCGGTGCACCGAAGAGATCCCAGAGAAGGACCGGGAAAGAACCCCCTCCCTGCCGCCAGCGTCCAGGTAAGACCTGGCAACCCTAGGCTATTCTGGTCAGTAGCCAGACTGTTGTACTCTGAATGGCTGGGAGCCTCAAAATGGTCTTCAAGGGCAGGCCCAGGCAAAGTGCACTGCAACCGTCTGTTAAGAATCGCTTTTCTGATTCCATTTAAAATATGACTTTTCAGTTTGTTTGTTTGTTTATTTGTTTTACCTGAGGCGTACAGCTGCTGATGGGTCGGATTTCGTTGGTGAGAGGAGCCATGGAGACGAGCAGTGTGTAGTTTTTGTTCAGAACTCTGCTGCACGTCGCGGGGTCCAGGCCGAGCAAGCTTTCACAGCGCAGCAAATCCAGAGGGAAACCTACGTTAACAATGTCAGAGACACTCGGAATACAGATAGAGAGCGAACATATACAACTGAAAGGGATACAGGAAGGGGGGTGGGAAAAGTACAAATTTAGGCGGTCTCCTCGCTCACACCTCTTCCTGGATATTGAAATCAACTTCATTATTTAAGTACACTTTATTCATTAGGGATGCCCATTTGAGCATATTGTCTTGCTGCAACACACCCACAGTCATCAAAAAGGAAGAAAACGGTTGTGTTCCAAAAGGGCACATTTGGAACCAACACTATTGATGGGACCTAAAAAAATTACTACCAGTGTGTCCAAAGGACAAAGATGCCTAGAGGGATTAAAAAAAAAAAAAAACTCTCCCCCAACCTCCACTTTGAACAGCAAGCTCAAACGCCATCTCCAAAACTACCGCTGAAAGTTCTTTAGAGAACGAACGTAGAGAACAAACATAAGAGAACGAACTTTGGAGAACGAACTTTGGAGAACGAACTAACAAAGTTCTTTAGAGAACGAACATATACAACTGAAAGGGATACAGGAAGGGGGGTGAGAAAAGTACAAATTTAGGCGGTCTTCTCGCTCAAACCTCTTCCTGGATACTGAAATCAACTTCATTATTTAAGTGCACTTTATTCATTAGGGATGCCCAATTGAGCATATTGTCTTGCTGCAACACACCCACAGTCATCAAAAAGGAAGAAAACGGTTGTGTTCCAAAAGGGCACATTTGGAACCAACACTATTGATGGGACCTAAAAAAATTACTACCAGTGTGTCCAAAGGACAAAGATGCCTAGAGGGATTAAAAAAAAAAAAAAACTCTCCCCCAACCTCCACTTTGAACAGCAAGCTCAAACGCCATCTCCAAAACTACCGCTGAAAGTTCTTTAGTTTCAATTAACGTCTTTATTTATGTCCTTTATACTCCCCCTTTCTCCACTTTGGGGACCCGTAAGTGGCTCACAACATTCTCTCCTCCTCCCTTTGATCTTCTCATGAACCTGGGCAGGTTAGGGTGAGAGAGTGTGACTGGCCTCACGTCAGCCAGTGAGCTTCCAGGGCAGAGTGGGGATTTGATCCTAGTCAGATCCTAGTCTGACCCTCAAACTGCTACACAATGCTGTGGCTCTCTACGAATCTTGACCACCGGCTTTTTAGCATAAAAAACAAAGGTCAGGATTGAAAGGGCAACTTTAGATGAGCCCAACAAGATTCCTCACTCTGGTTCTTCAAACAGGGAGTTCCGGTTCCATTTCACAGGCTCGTTTTGGGGTTCAAGCCAATTGTCATGTGGCATGGTGAGTAGGGATTGGCACAAACCGGCTACAAACTAAAGTTTGTCATGAATTTTGGCCGGTTCGTGGTTTGCGGAGCGATGTTCACGAACTGAAGAAATGCCATGAACTTCCATGTTGATACAATTCATGGCAGTTTGTGAAGAGTGGAAAGCAGAGCTTTACCCCTGCTTTCTGCTCTTCACGAAAAACCACAGTTTGGCAACCTCTGCTTTCTGCTCCCCCTGAAAACTCACGGGGAGCAGAAAGCAGGGGTTTAAACTCTAAATGGCTCATGAACTGATATAAACCAGTTCAGTTTGCGAACTGGTGTAGCAATTCGTGGTTCAGCCACAAACTAAAAAGATACAGTTTGTGCCCATCCTTAATGGTGAGGGACCTTCCAGAACATTCCATGAAATCAGTTTCACAAATCTTTATTCTAGTGATGGACTTTTACAAAAGAAGTGAACACATTCTGGGGCAAGTATTTATACAACACTTCTCTCCACGGTCAAGTCAGAAAGTCATCCAAGTTTAGTAGCCGCAAGACCTTTTAAAATAGGCATTTGTACCTAGAGCACCAAGAATCTTGCCTTTCGACCATTTGATTGAAAACACTAACATTTCTGACCTCACAGTCTGCTGTTGTCATTTGAATACTGCACTAGGATTGACCTATACAGGCCTAAAACAACAGCAATAACAACAAAGAAAAGACAAGGAAAGAAAAGACAAGGACAGGAAAGAAAAGGAAAGAAAAGAAGAAATCTCTATTCTAGAAGGTTGTACGTTCAATTACACCCAAAATTGGTAATAGTATTTCATTAAAGATCACAAAAATGGGTAAACAGCTTCCCCCCAAAGTAGAGATGCTTCCACTGTACCATTGTTGGGTTGTTCAGGCTGTGTAACTTGAGCCACCAGGTCCTTATTGTGCCTCAGAAAGAGGATAGTGTTTCGCAAAGTTAGTGCATGATCAAAGTATCTCTGTGCTTCTCCCTCTCCTGTGCTCTGAACCTAAATAAGGGAACACGAATGCAGACTTGTCATAAACTGTTTATCCAAATACTTATTAATGCAGAAAATTGAATTATTAGAAAAGATTTCCCAGTAGGCCATCATAAACACACAGCTGGCTTTGATCCCCTAAAAGACAAAACATTTCAATGTCAAACGCAGGATATTATATTTCTAGTACTTCAGCAATTACATCTTTACAGCTATTTCCTAAACAATCTTTTAAAGACAGACAAGTTTAAGGGAAATTTAAACTGCAAGTATCTTGGTTATGCGAAAACCTCCAGACTCATCCAGGGGTAGCTGCACGCACTCAGACACCCCATGCGAAGTTTCAGACAGTGTTGTGTCAAAGGCTTGCTTGGAGGAAAGCACAAATATGACTCGACAACCTGACTGGTCAACATTAACAACATGAGCTTGCTATTAAATTGTTCTGTAGTATGAATGATCAGATGGATTAATATGTTCTTCCAAGACCAAACAGATGGTCTGTACGGCTCCTTCCAACTCTATGATTCTATTATATGAGGAGAAACTATAACAACCAACCATTACATGAGGAGAAAGCAGTAACAAGGAATGGTCAACTAACTTGCTCAAAGGCCCTGCTGCGGGTTTATGTGGCAACCTCACCAAATCTGCAACTTCAATTCTAAGACAACCATTTTCAATTTGTAAAAAGAATATTCAGCATTTAAATGGGCTATTCCAGTTAAGATTTCACAAAACAATGCCCCAGTTTGGTGTAGTGGTTAAGAGCGTGGACTCTAATCTGGGAGAATTGGATTTGATTTCCCACTCCTCCACATGCAGCTGCTGGCGTGACCTTGGGTCAGTCACAAGTTCTTTCAGAGCTGTTCTCTCAAGAGCAGTTCTCGAAAGAGCTCTCTCAGCTGCACCTACCTCACAGGGTGTCTGTTGTGGGGAGGGGAAAGGAAAGGGATTGTAAGCTGCTTTGAGACTCCTTCAGGTAGTGAAGGGCAGGGTATAAATCCAATATCTTCTCTTCTCCTTCTATACCAGAGCACACAGGTTCCATAATGGTAAAGTCTTCAATAACAGGGAGAACAGCACTTAGCTCCTCCCTGTTTGGCTCTTAGGAAAATAAAAGAACATCAGTCCAAGAAGGGGTGCACAGCGTCCAAGCAACCACCATTCTGAACCCACCAAAGGAATGACACTTGAAGCAGAACTGCACTTCAGAAGCAGAGCATGCCTTTGATATGTTTGGGGAGATGCAAGTGGGTCTGGGAATTGCACTTTGAGACCCAAGAGGATAGTAGTCCAAGTTTTCTTTTTAAGTGAAGGGTAAGTTTATAAGACCATGGATATGGATGACACACAGCAGAGCCACACCCCATAGGGAAGGCCAATGTACTAGGAAGAAAGGTGGAGATGGGGATATAGTAGGCATTACCAACTTTATCATTAAACGTGACCAAGAAAGGGCCGGGCTGTACAGAAAAGAACTCCACTGAGAATGCAGCAGTCACAGCAACAGAGGAAGCTGCCTTATTCTGAATCAGACCATCAATCCATCATGATCAGAGACTTATCAAGAGAGAGATCTTGGAGTCGTAGTAGATAACTCACTGAAAATGTCGAGACAGTGTGTGCCTGCAGTAAAGGCCAATGCTATGCTGGGGATTATTAGGAAGGGTATTGAAAACAGATCAGCCAATATCATAATGCCCCTATATAAATCAATGGTGCGAACTCATTTGGAATACTGTGTGCAGTTCTGGTCACCACACCTTAAAAAGGATATTATAGCTTTGGAAAAAGTGCAGAAAAGGGCAACTCGAATGATAAAAGGGTTGGAACACTTTCCCTATGAGGAAAGGTTAAAGCTCTTGGGGCTCTTTAGCTTGGAGAAAGGATGGCTGAGGGGTGACATGATCGAGGTTTATAAGATTATGTATGGGATAGAGCAGGTAGAGAAAGACGTCCTTTTCTCCCTTTCTCACAATACAGGAACTCGTGGGCATGCCATGACATTGCTGAGCAGTCGGGTTAGAACGGATAAAAGGAAGTACTTCTTCACCCGAAGAGTGATTAACACATGGAATTCACTGCCACAGGAGGTGGTAGCGGCTACAAGCATGGACGGCTTCAAAA